TATCTTTTTTAGATTTTATTTATTTATTTGAGAGGCAGAGCTACAGACAGAAGGAGAGGGAAGGGGGTATGGGGGGAGGAGTCTTCCATCTGCTGGTTCACTCCCCAAATGGCTGCAATGGCCGGAGCTGAGCTGATCTGAAGCTAGGAGCCAGGACCCTCCTCTGGGCCTCCCACATGGGTATAGGGTCCCAAGCGCTTGGGGCATTCTCCACTGCCTTCCCAGGTCATAGTAGAGAGCTGGATTGGAAGTGGAGCACCTGGGACATGAACTGACACCCATATGGGATGCTGTTGCCACAGGCGGATGCTTAACCTACTATGCCACAGCACTAGCCCCAAATGATTATCTTTTAAAGATATTTTTAGGATAAAAGGCTTTAATTTACATATTACTATTTATCATGCTCTTGATTGCTTTGTGTAGTTCCAAATTTCCATCTGGTATAACTTTCCATTTGCTTGAAGAACTTTCTGTAATATTTCTTATTGTGCATGTCTCCTATGGATGACATCAGCTTTTCTGATAGTCTTCATTTCAGGCTCACATTTAAACGATACATATTTGAAAGGCTATTGGGTACAGAGCTGTGGATTGACATTGTTTCCTTATTTACTTCTTTAAAGTTGTTGCCCCACTGTCTCCTGACTTCTGTTGTTTCAGATGAGAAGTCAACTGTCATTGTTTGCTTTGTATGTAATGTGAGTTTTTCTCTGGCTGCTTAAAAGATTTTATCTCTAGTTTTAAGATGTTTGGTTAATATTATTAATATTATTTCTTGCTCATGAGATTCATCCAATCCATTGACTCTGGGAGGATCATTTTTACCAAATTTGGAAAAATGTTATTTTTCACTAATTGTTTTATATTACCCTTCCTCCTTGGGGGAATTCCATTGCACATATTAGAATGTTAGAAATTTTCCTACAGTTAATTGATGTTCCTCCCCCTCTCCCCATATTTTTATCTCTTTAATTGAGAATACTTTTTTCATGCTGTTTCTTCAGTATCACTGATCTTTTCCTTTGTCATGTTTTTAAAAATTAATTATTTTCATTTTATTTGAAAAAGAGACAGATGGAGAGACATCTTCCACTCACTGGTTCACTCCCCAAATGCTCACAACAGCCAGGAATCAAGAGCTTCATATAGGTCTCTCTCGTGGGTGTTAGGGATCCGAGTATTTCACCCATCACATGCTGCTTCCCAGGGTGCATATTAGCAGGAAATTGGATCAGAGGCTGCATAGCCAGGCACTCTGATATGGGATTCAGGCATCCCAAGAGTTGAATCCACCACTGTGCCACATCCATGTCCTGCTCTGGAGTGTTGAACTTGCTGCTAATTATTTTTCAACTCATGTATTTTTCAACTTGTTATTTTTCATTTCTAGCTGACCAGTTTGGATCTTCTAGAATATATTCATGCCTCTTCTTAACAAGCTTATGCTTTTTTCCTATCTTATTGAACATATGGAATATAGTTATAATGTGTTTCAATATCCTTATCTAGTTCTCATCTTTGTTTGCTCTGGATCTGTTTCTGTTGTTGAATTTATTTCTCTTTATGGTTTGTATTTCTCTGCTTTTTGCATAGCTAGTAATTTTTATTGGATGTTAGACATAGTGGATTTTATCTTGCTGAATGCCAGATATTTTTCTAAAATATTTATTTTCATCTACTTGAAATGCAGAGTGATGGGTTGGCGGGGGGCTAGGGATGGAATAGCTTTCATCTGCAGATTCACATCTCAAATGCCTGCAACAGCCAGGAGCCAGGAACTGTATCTATCCTACATGGTATCAGAGGCCCAGGCCATCACTTGCTGGATTGATGTGGCACTCTGCTCCACCAGGTATTTTTTATATTATTTACATTTCTGGGAAATAGGTAAGTTAATTAGCACAGTCTGTTCATTTTGAGATTTTTTTTTTTAATTTATTTGACAGGCAGTTAGACAGTGAGAGAGAGAGACAGAGAGAAAGGTCTTCCCTCTGTTGGCTCAGCCCCCAAATAGCCACCACTGCTGGAGCTATGCAGATCTGAAGCCAGGGTCAGGTACTTCTTCCTGGTCTCCGACGCGGGTACAGGCGCCCAAGCACTTGGGCCATCCTCCCCTGCCTTCCCGGGCCACAGCAGAGAGCTGTACTGGAAGAGGAACAACCGGGACTAGAACTGGCACCCATATGGGATGCTGGCTCTGCCCTCATTTTGAGATTTGCTTTAAGCTTTGTTAGGCAAAGCCAGACCTGCCTTAATCTAGGACTAATGATTTGACACTTTTAAGGCAATACTCTTGTATTGCCTGTTGCTGTGTGTCTTAAAGAGTTGTTTTCATTTTGGATAGTGGCACCATGAACTATTGTTGGTCCTTTGCGATAATTGAGCATTGGTCCACCTGATCTTCTCAGATAGCTTTTTCAAGTAATTCTCAGTCCCAGATAATTTTGTTACCCATATATCGTTCTGGTATTTACCTAAGAGTATTTAGGAAGGGAAACCGTTTGCAGCTCTTGCAGCCTCATTTTCGGTGCAGCTCTCTTCTCTGTGGTGCTGTGCAGCTGCCGTGGCCTCCCTGAGTTCTCAGCTCAGGTGGTTGCTGTGAGGTCTGGGGGCTCTCCCTGGCGCCATGGCCTGCGCGTGTTCCAGGCAGTCAGCTGGGGCAGTATAGGGCTCACTGTGTTTGTTTCCCCTCTCGGGATCACTGCCTTTGTCCAGTGTCTGAAACCATTCTCTGTATATTTTAAGCTGAAACCATTATTTTATGTATTTTTTTCTTTTTTAATAATTTAAGATGTGAGGGTAAATTTGGACTTTGTTACTCCATCTTTGTCAGAAGTGGAAGAGCATGTTTAGGTGATTTTTTAAGTACAGAAATTATTTTTATTTTAGTAAGTTAAAATAGTTAAAAGTGGCTCTGTTGTGTTTTACACCTTCTTTCTGACAGTGTTATGTGGAAGTAAAAATAAATCTCCCAGTGTTATCTCTTCAGAGGTGGACATTTGGCACAATGATTCAGTCGCTGCTTGGGATGCCTGCCTCCCCTAGTTGAGTGCCTGATTCAAGCCTGGTTCCTCCACTTCCAGTCCAGCTTCCTGCTGATGCACACCTTGGGAGGCAGCAAGTGATGGCTCAAGTACTTGGATCCTGAGCACCCATGTGAGAGACCAGAATAGAGTTACGGGCTATTGGCTTCTGCCTGGCCCAGCTCTTGTGGGCATTTGGGCATTTCAATCAACAAATGGAAGATCTATGTTTCTCTGCCTTTCAACTGAAATGAAAATTAATTAATTAGTTAATTAAAATGAGTTTTTAAAAAGAGTCTTGTTGGGACACAATGTCCCACATTGGAGTCCCTGGGTTCAAGTCTGTCTCTGCTTCCAATCCAGCTTCCTGATGATGCATACTGGGAAGCAGCAGGTGATGACTCAAGTACCTGAGCACCTGCCAGCCACGAGGATGACCTAGAGTGAGTTCCAGGCTCCTGGCTTCGGCCTGGCCCAGCCTGGACTTTTAAGGCATTGGAGGAGTGAGCCAGCAAGTGGTGGATACATCTGTTTCTCTCCTGACCCTCCCCCAGCTTTGCCTTTCAAATAAATAAAATAAATACAGAAGATTTTTTAAATCTTAGTATGTATTGGTTTCTGAAATACTGAAAGGCCTGCTTTGTGCCAGAAGATAATCTGAAGCTCAGCTAATGAATACAGTGAGAATTAGAGCCAGTATAGCACTGTGGAGAGAATGACAGTAAAGTAAGAGCAGCTCATACCTATCAGATGACGACAGGTGCCATGCAGGGAAGTAAATCAGTTAAACGGGATGGATAGACAGGCTGGCAAGTAAGAAAATGAACTGTTTATTTGAAAGCTCTCGGGACTTTGGAAAAGAGCCTATATTCCTTACTGTTAAAGAGTTCTTATTTGTCTCACTGCTTACCTTAGCTCTGAATTGCATCTCTTCCAACCTCATAATTTTTTCTCCAATTATATTCTTCTGTTCCTAGAACTTCAACATATTTGTTCACTACTTACTTTCATATATATGTGTGTGTGTGTTTCATATCACTATCTTCATTTCGTCTTGTATGCCCTGGCTAGTAGTCTAATGCTGTCGATTATTTTGAGCCACAGTTCTGGAAACCCTGTGTCACATTTACGGTGTTCACTTCTTAAATGTTCCTTACCTCTTCAGTCACTGTACTTTGGCTTTTCCACTTTCATAGGATGGAAGATTGCCCTTGTTAGTTGACCTGGGTACCTGCTGTCTGGCACCAAAGTAACAATTCCAGCAGATGCCTTTCATTCAGGTGGTCCTTGTTGTTTGGCTGTCCATGCTATTTATATACTCAAAGTTCCTTTGACACTGATGCCTCCGGTTGGTTTTTAGCCGTTCTGTCATGGTGTTGTTCTGCACCTTGAGTGGATTTCTTGCATGTAATTTGTATGTACCTTCATTACAGTGGTCATTTTAGGATCAGTTGTTTTCTCAGTAGAATATTAGTTCCTCGAAGGCGTAATCGCTAATATTTTTATTGTTGTTTCCCTGGCATCCAGCCTGGTACTTGGCACAAGTGCATTTAATAAATATTTGCTTAATGCATATAAAAATGCTAATGGTGTTTAGCTTCCTCCGTTAAGTGAAGCAGATACTAGTTTCATTAACTTTTATCTTCTGCATTGCAAAAGTTAACTGTTTATTTGCTTGACGTTTTGTGTATTTATTCACAAGTTGTTAATGCTGTGATTGAACATATAAATTCTCAAGACTGATCATTCTGTTGCCCCATACTGAATTTCTGTAGCCTCTGACTGTTGTGCTTTGAGAGGCAGTTAGGGCTCATCTGTAGCAAAAAGAAAGGAGGCATCCTTCAGTTGTGGTGGCTCTAGATACATTTTAAGATTCTCTTGGGATTCTTTGCGCCTCCAGAAACACACCTATGCTGCAAGGGGTACTTGTTAGTTTCAGAGTGTTATAAGGAGTATTTCTGATGTCTCTGATAGTTGGTGTGGATGACTACAGCTCAGAGTCTGATGTGATTATTATACCTTCAGCCCTGGACTTTGTCTCACAAGATGAAATGTTGACGCCACTGGGGAAACTGGACAAGTATGCTGCAAGTGAGAACGTGTTTAACAGGTATGTGCATATTCTGTTCATTCATGTGGAAGGGGAAAGGAGGTTTTATTAATTTTAGTAGGAAAAAATAAAAGTACCCTGTTCAGAGTGTAGATATTAACATGTGCAGTCTCAGCTGCCAGATGTTAATTATCGTAGCATGAGCTGGTTTGTAGTCGTTTACCCTTTGATCCTCGTAAGCAGACTGCACTCTTTCTTTGCTTTTTGGCCAGAAAAAAAAATCCATTACTTTTTTTCTTTTCTTTTTTTTTTTTTTTTTTTTTGCCATTGGGCATGATTTGGTATTTGTGTAACTCGCTGAATGAAGAGTCTGTTCTTCCTCAGGTGGTGGTGTGTGCCTGTTGTGTGCCCCATGGGGCTCAAGGGCATGGGGACACAGTGGCCAAGTGCTGGCACCCTTCTTCCTGATGTATTGTTTTTCCTGCTGTGTGCCCAGATTACTGCATCAGACTGTTCTGAGAAATCAGTTTCTGCTCAAAATTTACATGTAAAAAACTCATACTACTAAAAAACGTAACGATAACACTTGGTATAATGAAGATTAAGTATGTTTTTCCCATTGTTGTAATAATCAGGATGACTGTTAGAAGTGAAATTTCAGTGACTTTCGAAACTTACTAAATCAGATAAAAATAAGTTTAAAAGGTTTTCATAAATAATCTTGTTAAAATCAGTTCTAGCATTTAGGAAATTACAGGCTTAATATATGTTTTAAAATGTAACAGAATTTTTCTTTGAAAAAGGCCATATGGATTTTGGCCTTTACATAATGACTGTTGCTGCCACTGAACACCATTTAATTTTCTTTTTCTGTGTAGACAAATGGTGGCCCGGAGTTTGCTGGATACATTGAGGGAAGTCTGCGATGATGAAAGAGATTGTATTGCTGTTTTGGAAAGAATTAGCAGATTAGCTGACGACTCAGGTATATGTTTAAGTAGAGAGAGAAAATTTTACTGTGTTTTTAAAAATTGTATCTATAAAAATGGAAGTTAGTGTGATAAGGTATTTATTTTTTAAGGAATTTATTTATTTACTTGAAATAATAACAGAGAGAAAGAGAGAGATATTCTATCCACTGGTTCACTCCCAAATGGCTGGAATGGCCTGGGGCTGGGCCAGGCCAAAGCCAGGAGACAGAATTGTCATCTGGGTCTTCCACGTGGGTGCAGGGGACCAAGCTCTTGTTTCATTTTCCACTGCTTTCCCAGGCACATTAGCAGGGAGTTGGATCAGAAGTGGAGCAGCTGGGACTCGAACTGGCACCCATATGGGATGCTGGCACTGCAGATGGCACCCTAACCAGCTATGCCACAGCAATGACCTCAACATATTTTTTAAAAGATTTCTAAAGTAAATTTTCAAGTCTGTCAGTAACAAGAAAAAAAAAGTTACGATGACCCAAACAGCTGACAGTAGGCTCCTTTAGTTTAGTTTTGGAGATTTCTCATCCAAACAAATCTAGAATATTGTATATGTTAATATTTTAAGATTAATAAAAATTTTTAAATAATTTAGGATATACTGAAAAAGAATGGAGAGAGCTGTAAATTTTCTTACCCATATATATAATGCTTTCTTTCTGAATGCTTTGTCACTTGCAGAAAATGTTATGAAACTTGGTTTGTCTTGAGTGAAAATAGGGGGTTCACTTTAAGAAAATAGTAAATTGATTTGAGATATAGGAAGTGGTAACATTAAAAAAAATTTTCCAAATTATATACCTACTTTTCTATGTATATTTATTTACTTGAAAGCAGAGTGAGACAAAGAGAAAGAGATCTTCCATCTACTGCTTCACTTCCCAAATGGCTGCAGCTGGGCCAGGTTGAAGCCAGGAGCCAGGAACTGCATCCGAGTTTCCCACATGTGTGGCTGGGGTCCAAGTACCTGGGTCATCCTCAGCTGTCTTTCCAGGCACATTAGAAATAGAGCTGGATCCGAAGCAGAGCAGCCAGGACTTGAACTGACACTCCAATATGGGATGCGGGCATTGCAAGTGGCAGCTTAACTGGCTGTGCCACAGTGCCTGCACCTAGGGTTTGTTTTTTATAGTAGTAAAATATATACAATAATACTAAGTTTCATGCATATTTTAGCTTGTTTTTACAAATAATCAAAATTAAATTTTTTTTCCTGTTTCATTTTAAAAATTTTATTTATTTGTTTGAAAGAGTGACAGAGAGGGAGACAGAGATTACCCATGTGCTAGTTCATTCCTCAAATGGCCACAAGAGCTAAGGTGTGGCCAGGCTGAAGCCACGAACCAAGAACTCCATCCTTGATCTCTTATGTGAGTGGCAAGGACCCAAGCATTTGGACCATCATCTGCTGCCTTCCCAAGCACATTAGCAAGAAGCTGGATTAGAAGCAGAGTAGCTGGAATGTGGTCCAGAACTCTCTGATATGGGATGTACGTGTCCAGAGCAGTAACTTAGCCTGTATGCCAAACACTAACCCCCAAAATAAATTTAAAACTTTTTTAGTTTATTATCTCTTTTCTAAAATTTTTTAATTTTTGATTAAAATTTTTGAAAGATTTGTTTGAAAGGCAGAGTTACAGAGAGACAGAAAGAGAGACAGAGAGAGAGGTCTTCCCTCCACTGGTTTGGTCCCCAAGTCACCACAACGGCCAGAGCTGCACTGATCTGAAGCCAGGATCCAGGAGTTTCTTCTAGATCTCCCACGTGGGTGCAGGGGCTCAAGGACTAGGGCCATCTTCTGCTTTCCCACGCCATAGCAGAGAGCTGGATTGGAAGAGGAGCAGCCAGGACTCGAACCAGCACCCTTATGGGATGCTAGCTCCGCAGGTGGTGGGTTTACCTACTGCACCACAGCTCTGGCTCCCAGGGGTACTTTTATACTGATTTTGTGTGTATTTTTTGGGGGGTAGGTGGTGGTGGTGAATCAGAAACTGCCTGGATATGTAAATTTGGAACCCAAACTGGTTAAAAGTATAGTTTCAAGGTTTCAGAAATAAAATACTTGGGGATATTTTTGTTCTTTTAATATTGTGTTTAATATACTACAAAAAGTACTTGAACTGTAAGCATACAGTTTCATCCATTTGATTAAATTTCACAAATGAAGGCTGCTGTAATTAATGCTCAAGACTAAGAGGTGTAATTATCCCAGAAACAGTCTCAGTGCCCTCCTGGTCTGTATTTCTGTCTGGCCCTTTTAAGATGAACACCATTTTGGCCACTAACAATAAAGATTAGTTTGCCTTTCTGAACTTGACATGGAATTATACTTAATATATTCTGTTGTACTTTCTTTAATTTTCTAAAGTTATTCCATGCTGTTGTCTGTAGCTATATTTTTAAATTTCTTTTTAACCAGTAATCTGTTGTATGGATACCAAATTATGTATCCACTGTTCTGTTAGTGGTTATATTGGTTGTTTCTAGTTTTGAGCTTTTTTAAGATTTATTTATTTGTTTGTTTAAAAGGCAGAAGAAGAGAGACAGAAAGAGAGATCTTCATCTGCTGGTTTACTCGCTAAATGGCTGCAACAGCCAAAGCTGGACCAGGCTGAAGCCAAGGGCCAGGAACTCCATCCAGGGCTACCATGTGGTTGTCTGGGGCCCAAGAACTCTGGCCATGTTCTGCTGCCTTCCCAGGAGCATTAGCAGGAATTTGGCTTGGCAGTGGAGTCGCCAGGACTCAAACCAGCATCACATTTGGGATGCCAGCATTGTAAACAGCGGCTGCACCACATTGCTGATCCTAAAGCTATTAAAAAAAAATTTTTTTTTTTTTAATTTATTCTCCAAAGGCCTGCACTAGCCTGAGCTAGGCCAGGCCAAAGCCAGGAACCTGGTATTCAACCCAGATCTCCCTTTTTGGTGACAGGTCCTTAATTCTGGAGCCATCACCTGCTGCCTCCCATAGTGTACATTAGCAGGAAGCTAGATTGGAAGTGGAGCCAGGACTTGAACCTAGGCACTCTGACTTGGGATTTCAGTGTCTCAAGCAGCATTTTTTTTTTTAGACTTATTTATTTTATTTGAATTAGTTACACAGAGGGAGAGGCAAAGGCAAAGAGAGAGAGGGTTCTTCCATCTGCTGGTTCACTCCCCAAATGGCCACAACAGCCAGGGCTGGGCCAGGCTGAAGCCAGGAGCCACCAGCTTCATCCGGTTCTTCCATGTGGATGCAGGGGCCCAAGTACTTGGGTTATCCTCCACTGCTTTCCCAGGCACATTAGGAGAGAGTTGGATTGGAAGTGAATCAGCTTGGACTGCAAGTGGCACCCATATGGGATACTCATGCTGCACACATTTCTGTGGCTAAATACTTAGGAATAGACTCACTCTAGGCTATGTCTAGATCTGTCTGTGATGGATATGCCATAAAGTTTTCCAAAGTGCTAAAGTTTGTAGTTCCATCAGCGGTGTGTGATTGTTTCACATCTTCACCAACACTTGCTTATTTTAAATGGGTGTGTAGTGGTATCTCATTGTGGTTTTAGCTTATTTCCTCAGTGATCAGTGAAACTGAACACCTGGTTATATGCTCATTGGCTGTTTGGGTATCTTTCTGTTTTGTTTTGTTTTTAATTTTCACTTACTCATTTGAGAGGCAGAGAGTAAATTAGAGAAAGCTTGCTCCCTCTCTGCTTGTTCATTCCTCAAATGCCTATGATGGCAGGGGTGGGGGATGGGGGATAAGAGGCTGAAGCCATGAAATAAGAACTCAATCCACGTCTGCTGCATGGGTGACATAACCCTGCTACTCAGTCAGTCCCTGCTGCCCTAGAAGAAGGGTGGAGTTGGGCTTGAGGCAGGGATCCCAAGCACTCTGGTGTGGGACATTGACATTTTAACAGCAGCTTAACTGCTAGGCCAAACACCTATCCCTGGTATCTTTTTTTTTTTTTAAAAAAAGATCTTTTCAAGTCTCTTTTCCTTTTAAAATTGCAGTCTTAGAGATACTTAGGAACCCTTCATTCCAAATGAGTCCTGTGTCATTTCTGTGTATTGCAGGTGTTTTTTCCATTCTGTAGTCTGTCTTTTCACTCTCATAAGGATACTTAAAAAGAGAAGTTCATACCTCGGAATCATCAGTATTTTCCCCTACATTATCTAATGTAGAAGCCTTATTATTTTTGCCTTTGATATTTAGATCCTTTTTTCATGTAGAACTTACTAGTTTTTAAATTGAAAGATGAAAATTGTATGCATTTAATGTGTACAGCAGGTTGCTGCTAGAGTTTGTTCTTGTATATGATATGAAGTAGGGAACAAGTTTGATTTTGTGGGTATTTTTTTTAATGAGAGCAGCCAGTTGATATGGCACTATTTATTGAAGAGACCATCTCCTGGGGCTGGTGCTGTGGTGCAGCGGGTTAACGCCCTGGCCTGAAGCACCAGCATCCCATATGGGCGCCAGTTCTAGTCCTGGCTGCTCCTCTTCCAATCCAGCTCTCTGCTATGGCCTGGGATAGCAGTAGAAGATGGCCCTAGTCCTTGGGCCCCTGTACCCACGTTGGAGACCCTGAAGAAGCTCCTGGCTCCTGGCTTCTTTTGGGAGTGAACTATCAGATGGAAGACCTCTCTCTCTGTATCTACCTCTCTCTGTAACTCTGTCTTTCAAATAAATAAATTAAAAAAAAAAAAAAAAAAGACCACCTCCTTTCCACCTGGGAGATCAGTCGTCACGTCTGTATGAGTCTGTCTCTTTGGGGGTTCTGCTTTTGTTTGTTTGGTGTATTTGCCTAAGCATTGCTTTCAAGAAGGAAAAGTTACTTGTTTCATTCTTTTTCTTTTTTTAATAAGTTTTTCTTAGGTCAGCTTAATAAATCTTGTTTATTGACTACATTGAGATTAGGAGCCAGTTGTTATGACTTGTGTTAGGAGGTTTTTGCATAGTGTTCATGGATGGATAATACCCTATCATAGTATTGCTATAAATATTGGAGAGGCCGGCGCCGTGGCTCAATAGGCTAATCCTCTACCTTGCGGCGCCGGCACACCGGGTTCTAGTCCCGGTCGGGGCGCCGGATTCTGTCCCGGTTGCCCCTCTTCCAGGCCAGCTCTCTGCTATGGCCAGGGAGTGCAGTGGAGGATGGCCCAGGTGCTTGGGCTCTGCACCCCATGGGAGACCAGGAAAAGCACCTGGCTCCTGGCTCCTGCCATCGGATCAGCACGGTGCGCCGGCTGCAGCGGCGGCCATTGGAGGGTGAACCAACGGCAAAGGAAGACCTTTCTCTCTCTGTCTCTCTCTCTCACTGTCCACTCTGCCTGTCAAAAATAAAAAAAAAATAAAATAAAAAATAAAAAATAAAATAAATATTGGAGAAGATACTTAACCTTTTCTAGCACCATGTGGTGCGTTGTAGGTGATGAGTACATTATTGTAAGAAGTGATTGGTATAATGCATGTCTTGGATGATGGCTTCACTTAAGTGTGGTTGTGAAAAGAGTTGCAGTTAGTATTTTTCTAAATCCTTTTTACACTGAGGATGACAGTCTGGAGCCTTACTCCATAATCTCAAGTCCAGATAGTGACTGTGTTAGTGTGGGAGAGTTGTTTGCTTACAGTGCTGTTGTTTCAATAGAACCGACTGTGAGAGCAGAGCTGATGGAACAGGTGCCTCACATTGCATTGTTTTGTCAAGAAAACCGCCCTTCAATACCATACGCTTTTTCCAAGTACTTACTACCCATTGTGGTTAGATACCTTGCAGATCAAAATAACCAGGTAAGAGTTCTGTTTACATGTTCTTAATAGAATTTGTATGATATGATATATGTAGAATTATCCAGCCTACATGAGCCATTTGGATATTTTTTCTCCTGAGCTTTGTTCGCGTGGTTGTAGACAGGGTGTGCGAGACCCTGACAGTCTTAACAGGTCTCCTTCATGTCATGGTACGTAGTACCCAGAGCTGCACACTCATTTGCTGCTGCCTTTGTGTCATTTGCGATGCTTGTTACTTTGTGAGATGTCTTTTATGAGGGTGGTTTTTTGTTCTACTTCTGCTACAGCAGTCTCTACCAAGTTTTTTGCCATAGTTGAAGAAAATAAGCAAAATAATTACGTGCAAAGTCCTGCCAGTTACAGATTCTTTTAAGTTGAGGTGAAAAGTCTTCAGTTCTCAGAGCTTCTTCCTGCCTGGTGCTGGTGCTCCAACTTTCCTGGAAATGTGACCCCCCGAAAACGCCCATCCTCACCCCTGCCTCAAATGCAGAAGCTGAGACAAGCACCTGGCCGGTGGACACCTGGGCCTCTTCCGGGATTGTGGAAGGGAGGAAAAAAACAAGAAGCATTGAACGTCCCGATGAAGTACAAAATGAAATAGACTTCATGAGCAAGCCAGTGAGGTGATTTTGAAGTAGAACAGAAATATAATAAATTCTGCCAACCGTTTTTTCAGAAGATCTTCAGAATCCCAAATTTTGGGGTGACAACATCTCAGCTGTCCACAAACATCTGTACTGCCTGGGAGGAGGACAAGGAGGCGCTGCATCATCTGACCAGAGCTGAAGTGGCAGAATCTAAAGATGCTAAATCAGGCTGTAGGTAATAGATTTTTATTTTGATGAAAATCCTTACCTTGAAGATAAAGCCCTCTCCAAAGAATTGCGTCTGAATGAGAGTGGTGATCCATCTTCAAAGGCCACTGAAGTCAAATGGAAGTGTGGAATGGCTTTGATGAAACATTCAAGCCAAATGCAGAGCAAAGCCAGCAGGAGGAAGCAGAGGAACCAGAGAACTTGTTTACCTGATTTTGTGACCCTTCTGCTGCAGGCACAGATGCGTTAGGAGAGGTCATCAGCCAGAGAGGATGATATTTGGCCAAATCCAATACAGTGCTGCTCGGGCCCTGATACGGATGATGAAGAAAGCGAAGGAGATGATGGTGATGAAGATGAAGAAGAATTGGAAGACATTGCTGAAGAAGAGGTTGAGGGTGAAGGGGAAGAAGGAGAGAAGATGATTGATAGCACTAATGGATTCCAACTTTTGTTGTTATTGTTGTTGTTGTTTTACAATTTCTCCAGTCCCTGGGAACTGACATCTTATTTTTATTTTTTTTCCCTCTTGTGCTTAGTCTCTCTGATTTTGAGGTCTCTTTTCTCTACACCATGGTTCTCACCTTTATTGTCCAGAAGATAAGCTTAAGCAGAATACAGTGGCAAAAGAATATCAACCCCTTTCTGTTCCAAATTCATTTTTATCATTTCTTATCTTGACAAAAACGATGGAATCAACACCACCATTCCCTGTGGGAAAGAAGAAAACCTGCTCCCTCCTCTGCTGGAAACTGGAGGGTGCTAGGCCCCTGTGTGTTAGTGCGTAGAATTCTTGCTTTTCTCCTCTTTTCTCTGTATATTGGGCTGAGAGATTACACGGTCTCTGTGTAAATACGGACACTGTGTGTCTCTCTACTTTCTCGTGTTTCAAAAAAAAAGGAAAACTTTAAAAACTAGGGTTGTAGAAAGTTAGCAAAGTGTGGGTTTGAGATGTTCAGGTAGGTTAAGTCGGCATGTTCAGTTGTGACGTTTAACGGACATCCTTGCGGTTTAAGGTGACATTTTTAAGCATAAAATTCTCTCCTAACATTTCATTCCTGTTTATTCTTAAATTTTCTTTCAGTTTCACTGGAAAAGAAAGATGATGCTCAGTTTGAAATGTTGAAAGTATACAAGTTGTTTTGTTACAGTAAAACTAAATGTGACACACTCATATACACACACAAATCTTCACATTTGTAAAATCAAGAGATGGTTTTATTATATTGTGTACATATCTTTTTGTGCTGTCACTATTTTCCTAGGTGAGGAAGACAAGTCAGGCAGCTTTGCTGGCCCTGCTGGAGCAGGAGCTAATTGAACGATTTGATGTGGAGACCAAGGTGTGCCCTGTCCTCATAGAGCTTACTGCCCCAGATAGCAACGATGATGTGAAAACAGAAGCCGTGGCCGTAAGTACATCGGCATTTTACCATCCAGGAGAAACTGTACTGACTATTGCTAAAGTGTCGGCAAATCATTAAATCTGAAACGTGGTGCTGGGCTGAAAAGGCAAACAAAGGCTTGCACGGGAAAGGTCTCTTCACACAATAAGAAAACCATCAGTAACTATAAATTCATTGTTTTATCAAAATGGAAAAAGAAGGTGGTTATTACTAATGTGGGTGTGGTTTTTTGGTTTTGGAGGTTTTTGTTTGTTTTGTGCGTCACTCCTGCATATGCCTGTAACAGCCAGGCCTGAGCTGAGAACTCAGTATGGGTCTCTTACATAGGTGCAGAAATGTGAGTACTCGAACCATCAACTGCTGCCTTCCGGGATGTGCATTAATAAGAAGCTCAAATGAGGACCTGACTTGGGACTTGAACCTAGGCATTCCCAAACATGGGCATCTTAACCACTGTGCCAGACACCCCCCCCCCCAGGAGTTTTAAAAACATAACTTCCTGTAGTGAATGAAGAAACATTTGAACCCGAATGTTTCTATGTGTGCTTTTGTAGGCCCAAGTATGTGAACACAGTGGAAGTACAGACTACTTGGCACTGGCCCTTGATACAGGGTCTTTGGAAGGGCTGCCAGCTATGTAGTTTCACTATGCTTTATGTCATCAATGATGATTATTGTAAGAACACAAACTTTTAAGTCTTGTGCACATAATACAGTCAAGTGTAATGGTAAGTTTTCTAGTAGGTTATTTTTTTTTTTTTACATGATTGGCAATACTATTTGATAGCTTAAACAGAGCATGAATTGGAATCTCTGCACAGGCATGAATTATAGTTGTTATTCATCTCTGATTCCCAAGTTGAAATAGTAAGAATTCTGATAGTAAATCAGAATGGTATAATTGCATCTTTTATTGATGCAAAAGATAATGTTTTGCTGTGTTTCTGGGTCATCAATAGTAGGGTAAATTGGACATTTTCTCTAATCTCTCTCTTTCCCTTGAAAATTTCCATTTTTAGATACCAGTTTTCAGATAATAAAAATTTAGATAGTTTTTTTTTTTTTTTTTTTAAGATTTCTTTATTTTATTTGAAAGAGTTACACAGAAGGAGAGGGAAAGGCAGAGAGAGAGGTCTTCCATCCCCTGGTTCACTTCCTAAATGATCGCAACAGCCAGGGGTTGGACCAGGCTGAAGCCAGGAGCCAGGAGTTTCTTCCAGGTCTCCAATGTGGGTGCAGAGGCCCAAGGACTTGGGGCATCCTCTGCTGCTTTCCCGAGTGTATCAGCAGGGAGCTGGAACAGAAGTGGAGCAGCTGAGTCTCAAACTGGAGCCCATAGAGGATGCCAGTACCACAGGCTACAGCTTCACCCACTGTGCTACAGTGCCAGCCCCAATTTAAATAATTTTAAAATAATGTTTTTATTGAAGTAAAATTCATATAACATAAAATTAATTATTTTAAGTGTATAATTCAGAAACATTTAGGCTATTTCCACTGATGTGTCACTGCCACCTCTGCCTACTTCCCAAACAATTTTTTTAAAAAGATTTTATTTATTTGAAAGGCCGAGTTAGAGAGAGAGGGAGAAGGGAGAGAGAGGTCTTCCATCTGCTTGTTTACACTCCCCAACCCAATGGCTGCAATGGCTGGGGCTGGGCCAAGCCAAAGCCAAGAGCTTTATCCCATTTTCCCATGCAGGTGCAGGAGCCCAAGCACTTGGGCCATCTTCCACTGCTTTACCAGGTGCATTAGCTGGGAGCTGGATGAGAAGTAGAGCAGCTGGGTCTTGAACTGGTGCCTATATGGGATGCCACCACCGCGAGCCGTAGCTTAACCTGCTTTGCCACAGCACAGGCCCCAACAATTTTTTTTTTTTCCTTCAAGAGTTCCTCAATAAAGGAAAGAAAATTAGTGTTGATATAACTTGGTTTCCATTGAACAGAGCTTAACTTACTGTATTATAATTTTTGATGGGATTTAAAATGTTTAGATCAGTGTGATAAAATTTATCTTCAGCAATAGAAAGAAACCCGTTGTTGTCTTGCAGCTGTTTCACGTTTATTTTGTCATGTGGTTCTTTATCTTGGGAATAATTCATTCTAATAAAGTTAGTTAGGCCAGATCAGTAATACAGTATAATTTTGGATCATTTGTGGTTGGAGATGCTTATTCAAGAAACAAAACTGGTTTTGGGGTTTAGAAGATATAGGTGACTATCTCCAGTTCTGATGATGCTCAGATCTTGATGGGGATTTTTTGAATCTGTAGATGAGTTTGGAGAGAATTGGAGGCCTAAGAATCCCAGATCATGGTGCATCTTGCCATTTAAGTCTTTGACTTACATAATCAGTGATTGATAGTTTCATCTTATTTGTGTTTTATTAGATTTCCTGTTCCCTAACACTATTATGAGTGATGCTGTTACTAAATACTTCCATTTCATTACTTATTTATAGAAATACAGATTTTTCTGTTGACATATATCCTTCAATCTTCCTAAACTCACTCACTCGCTCTGGTGGCTTCTTTGTGGATCTTTGTGTAGACAACCCTGTCATATATGAATAGAGAGAATTTTCTTTCTTTTAATCTCTATGCCTTTTACTTCCCTTTTTTTGTCATATGCAGTAGATATAATTGATAAATGATGACAATCAGATTTCTTTCTATATTAAATGTGGGGAGAATATATTTCAATAACAGAGCTAGTTTTCCAATAAAGTTAGTCTTTATGTTGTCTAGTTCTGTGCAAACAGAAACATGTTCATGTTGGAAATTGAAGAATACTCAAGAGTTCTTGTCCAATGTGTATGTGAATGGAAACCCATAGACAATGGTTTGAGCTATAAACATGAAGAAATTGATTTAGCTGCACGGACCAGAACCAAGGTGGTGTAGTGACCAAAAAACCAGTAGTTTCAGGTTCTATGGCACTCGCTTCTAGGGAAGTTATACTTCCCTATTCGTTAAGTTTTAGGGAAATTTTTGGAGGGGTTAATTAAGCATATTCAAAAAGGATGGGTGCACATTCTTATTGCATTACTATACTTGTTATGTGAGTCTTGGGTCTAGTTAGGGGTGCAGATTTAAGCTTTTTAATGAAGAGGGTTGGTTTTCTAAAATGTTAGAAGAAGTTGGAGGTATGATTGCCACTTGCGTTTAGGCTTCTGCATCTGGCCATGATTGAATCATGACTTGAGTTTCTTGATAGTAAGTAGCACCTGCTGAGCTGTGACTTCAGTCAGCTGCCTCGTGTCTTTCTGGGGGAACACCTAGTTATTCTCAAGTTGGATTTAGTAAACTTTAGTTTTTTTAGTAAGGGAGCGATGTTACTTGGAACCAAAGTTTTGCCAGACTAGGATGTGGTTCCGATATGCATGAGCATCAGTGCATGCAAGGCCTGTGTAGTCTTTTCTTATTCATATTTATAAGACTAAACCCAAAACCACCTTAGGGATAGTCTTCCCTTTTGGAATTCATAATTTGTTTTTTTACTGGAAAAATTCAGGTTTCTTTTTTTCTTAAAGTTATCAGGCAAAATAATTAATCAAATGGAAACCATGGGCAAAAGTGAAATTTGTGTGTTTATTATAAATTTATTGTTCAATTATATTGATGGTGGTTAATATTTATTTTTCTGCTTTTTGGATAAATAAGATGAAATTAATAGTTGACTGTCAATGATTTCATGGTACATAAAGTATAATAATGCCATACCATATTTTATATTTCCTTAAATTATATATTCTTAAGTTGCTAACCTTAACTGAAAAAGCCTTAAAGATATTTTCCGTGTGTTTTTATTCTTATTTATTCTAGATAATGTGCAAAATGGCTCCCATGGTTGGGAGAGACATTACGGAGCGCCTTATCCTCCCGAGGTTTTGTGAGATGTGCTGTGATTGCAGAATGTTTCATGTTCGAAAGGTATTTTTTATCGTTAGTTTTTTTCTGTTTCAGAACATGATTCTAATGGTTAATATAGACTGTTTTTAAAGAACTCTGTTTTTGTGTTTTGAAATGTTATTGATGCCTTTGTTGTCAGGTCTGTGCTGCCAATTTTGGAGATATTTGCAGTGTAGTTGGCCAGCAAGCCACTGAGGAAATGCTGGTAAGTGTCGCAGATGCAAAAGAGTAAGCAATATTACTTATTGCACGTGAAGTTTGACATAGTACCTGTAACCCAGATTTTATTAACGTCATCTCCTGAGTGTAGACCAGAAGGATAGTGATAACTTTGAGTTTAGGAGTTTTAATTAAGTTTCTGTAATCTGGGCACATGAATTGTACTTTCACAAGGACAGTTAAAAATACAGATATGTGGGAGAAACTTTAATTCATTTTTATCTTTCCCATTTCTATTAAGTATATGAGTTCTTATTTATTCAGTTGAATCTTTAATTTTATTGCAACCTTCAAGCACTTTGGTGGCACATGAGATCTTCAGCAAACTAGTTTAAAACAGTTGTACATGGAATGTATGCGCTCACTTTACAAGTTAGTACTCAAAAAGTTTCTGAAACCATTTGTTAGACAAAATAAGTTGAAGTACAAACTCTTGAATAACAGTAAACTATGTTGAGAATGTCTGTGCTTTTGCATGTTCAGTTATGCATTAGTTGTGATTAATTAGAAATTACTAAGTATTGAAATTAAATGGTTTTTATACTTTTTAAGAAAATTCATTATTTTAAACACTATGAAAGCAGCATTTGAAAGAGAAGAAACTGCTGAAACGTAACTGTATTTGTCTAACAAAAATCCTGTCCTCTTGCGTAGCTGCCCAGGTTTTTCCAGCTTTGTTCTGATAATGTGTGGGGAGTCCGAAAGGCTTGTGCTGAGTGTTTCATGGCGGTTTCCTGTGCAACATGTCAAGAGATTCGGAGGACTAAGCTATCAGCACTATTTATTAATTTGATCAGTGATCCTTCACGTTGGGTAGGTTTTTGTTTGAGTACCATTTTAATAAAATAGTACAATTTAGTATGCTTTAAAGTAAAAGGAGTTCATCATTTAAGAAATAATTTATGGGACCAGTGTTGTGCCTTAGTCAGTTCAGCCACTGCCTGCGACACTGGCATCTCATATAAACACTAATTTGAGTCTGAGTTGCTCCACTTCTGATCCAGCTCCCTGCTATTGGACTGGGAAAGTGCAGAATGGCTCAAGTGCTTGGGGCCCTGCACCTGTGTGAGAGACCCAGATGGAGTTATTAATAATTTGTTTTTTTTGTAGCCAGACTAAATGTCTTCTTTTTTTAAGATTTGTTTTTTCTTTCTTCCCCCCTCTCTCTTTCTTTCTTCCATTTTTTTTTTTAACTTATTTATTTGAAAGGCAGTGTTATAGAGGGAAAGGGAGAGAGAGCGAGAGAGCGCACGCACAAGAGATCGATCGATCGATCTTCCATCTGATGGGCTACTTCTCAGATGTCAGCAATGGATGGGGCTGCATCAGGCTGAAGCCATGAGCTAGGAACTTCATCTAGGTCTTCATGTGGGTGGCAGGAGGCCCAAGCACTTGGGTCATCTTCAGTGCTTTTCCAGGCTCCTTAGCAGGAATCTGGATCAAAAGTGGAGCAAATAGCCAGGACTTGAACTGGTACCCATGTGGGACATCAGCATAGCAGGCTATGGCTTATCCTACTGAGCTACAATGCCAGACCCACAAAAAGTGTTTACAAATATAAATCATGTTGATTTTCATTTTATTGGCATAATACATTATTTGATTTTTAGATATTAAACCACTTTGCTATCCTAGAATTAGTCCCATGTGTCATAGTGTATAACTCTTTTTATATTTCGCTGGATTCAGTTTGCTTATAGTATGTTGAGGGTTTTTGTATGCATATCATTAAGAAGTTTTGGTATATAGTCTTCTTGTGGTGGCTTTGTCTGCTTTGGTTATCAGTGGCTTCATAAAATGAGTTGAGAAGTATTGCCTCTTCTGTGGCACTTTTTGTTTGTTTTTTTTTTTTTTTTTTTTTTTGAATTTGTAAAGAATTGATATTCTTTCAGTGTTGAGTAGAATTCAGTGGTGAAGTTATCTGGGTCTAGACTTTGCTTTGTGTAGGTAGTTTCAAAAATACAGATTGAGTCCCTTCACTTTTTGTGGGTATATTCAGGCTGTCTTCTTTTTGAGTCAGTAGTCTCTTGTTCTAACAATTTGTCCATTTCATCTAAGTTACCTAATTTGTTGGTATCCTGTTATCTATGGTATTCCTCTGTATTTCTGTGAAGTCAATAATAATTAATGCCCCTTCTTTGATTTGGGATTTGAGTAATTTAAGTCTTAGGTCTATTTCTTGGCCAGTCTACTAAAGGGTTTGTCAATTTTGTTAATCTTTTTAAAGAGCCAACTCTGCTATTTCAGTAATTTCCACCCTAGTCTTTATTATATTGTCCCTTCTGCTTGCTTTGGGTTTAATTTGCACATATTTTTCTAGGGTCTTGAGGGGCAAGGGTACATTTTGTAGTCTTTTCTTTCTGTGAATTACTATCTGGAGTTACCCCCTTTCAATCTGAAGAACTTTCATTAATATTTCTTGTAATGTGGATCTCCTGATAACAAATTCTCAGCTTGGGATGTCCTTATTTCACCTTCAATTTTAGAAAGATAGGCTTGCTGAATATAGAAGTCTTGGTTGACAGTTTTTTCTTTGAGCACCTTGAATGTGTTGTTCTACTGCCTCTGGCCTCCTTTCTGCTGAGACATTGGCTATTAATCTTATTGGGGAGCCCTCCTAAGTGATGTGTCATTTTCCTCTCACTGCTTTCTGAATTCTCTCACTGCTTTCTGAATTTTCTCCTTGCCTTGACTTTGAGAATTTTTCCTATGATATAATCATTTGTTGATCTCTTTTAGTTTGTTCTACTTGGAGTTCATTGAGCTTCCTGGATGAGAAGGTTATTATTTTGCCATAAACTTGGGAAGTTTTTTTTTTTTTTTTTGGCAGGCAGAGTGGACAGTGAGAGAGAGACAGAGAGAAAGGTCTTCCTTTTGCCGTTGGTTCACCCTCCAATGGCCACCGCGGCCGGCGCACCGTGCTGATCCGATGGCAGGAGCCAGGTACTTATCCTGGTCTCCCATGGGGTGCAGGGCCCAAGCACTTGGGCCATCCTCCACTGCACTCCCTGGCCACAGCAGAGAGCTGGCCTAGAAGAGGGGCAACCGGGACAGAATCCGGCGCCCCGACCAGGACTAGAACCTGGTGTGCCAGCGCTGCAAGGCGGAGGATTAGCCTAGTGAGCCGTGGCTCCGGCTTGGGGAAGTTTTGAGCCATCATTTCTTCAAATATGGCTTCTCTTTTCTGTTCCTCTAGTACCCCCATAATACGTTGGTTAATGTTCTTAATGGTCTCTCCTACATTTACTTCGCTGAGGATCTGTTTGTTTTTCCTCATTTGTTTTTCCCTGTCTATTCTTTGTCTTTTGTGAACTTTATTGTTCCGTTTTTTCACCAGTTCAAATCTGATATTGAGCTTGGATAATGAATTTCTTAACTTTAGTTGTACATTTCAGCACCAGAATTTTTTTATGATTTCTCTCTGTAAGAATCTCTGTTTGATGCAGCATTGTCCTTGTACCTTCTTTTACTTTTTAAGTTGTGATTTCCTTTAGTTCTGCAAAAACATTTATAATGGCTACTTCCAGTCTTTAAGTCCAAAATCTGATTGGTCTCACAAATAATTTCTGTTGCCTGTGGTTTTTTTTTCTCCCCCCGTGAAGGGATTTTTTACATCCTTTGTATTTTCTGTTCAAAATTGAACATTTTATTTATTTTTTAAAATATTTATTTATTTGAAAAGCAGAGCAACAGAATGAGAGAGAGTGACAAAGAGAGACCCTGGATCCACTGACTCTCTTCCAAAATGGCCCCTGCAGCCATTTTGGGGAAGGCCAAAGCCAAGAGGCAGGGGCTCAAGTATTTGGGCCATCTTTCACTATCTTCCCAGTCATGTTAATAGGAAGCTGAAGCAGAAGCAGAGTAGCAGGACTCAGACTGGCACTCTTGATATGGGATGCTGGTTTTGCAAGTGGTGGCTTGGCTTGCTGTTGAAAACCAGTCCTGGAAGCTGAACATTTTAGATAATACAATGTAACAGCTTGGATTCTGGTCATGCCCACTCCATTGCTTATTTGCCTGTTGGCTTAGTGATTGGCTAGACTACTTTAGTAAAGTGTTTGCTCCCTCTAGGAAGCATGGCTTTGGGTATGTCCGTAGTCACCTTAGGATGACAGGGTCTTGGCTGGGTAGGAGGCTAGTACTATGAAGGTCTCTTGGCTTCTCTCTCCTGGGGGAAAACAGCTGCCTAAGGAGCTGCCACAGCGCTGATAGAGACCCTAGGTTCTCAACACGCCACACTTGAAGCAGAGCCTCTCTTCCGTAAGGGAAACCTCTTACTCTTGACCATGTTTGTTGAGTAGCTGGGGGGCCAGCTGAATAACACAAAACCCTGTGATTGGGAGCTGGAGAGGAGGAAGAATTAGGTTCGTTCCGGGACCATGGTTCTGAATCTGGATTTCATTTAGAAATGCTTTGATGCCAGCATACGGTATGAACACTGGTTTGAGTACCTACTGCTCCACTTGCCATCCAGCTCCCTGTGGAGGCAGTAGAAGATGGCCCAAGCACGTGCTTCACCCTGACCTAGCCCTGGACATTGTGGCCATTTAGAGAGTGAACCAATAGATGAAACATTGTTCTCTGTGTCTCTCCCTCTGTCTCTGTAATTGTGCCTTTCAAATCTTTTTTTTAAGAAAATGCTTTATTATTCTATACATGGTTTGACTTTGGTGTATGAAAAGTTGATTATTAAAATATGTATAAATCTATGTGTATATAAATATACATGCATGCTTATATGTAAAAAAATATAACTCTTTATTCATATGTTTTATTATTGTCCTGTGTTTCTTCCTAGGTTCGCCAAGCAGCATTTCAGTCTCTGGGACCCTTCATTTCCACTTTCGCTAATCCGTCTAGCTCAGGCCAGTATTTCAAAGAAGAAAGCAAAAGTTCAGAGGATATCTCAGTAGAAGACAAAACTAGGTATTATTTTAAAACTTTGTTTTCCAGTTTTACTGTTTTCCAAATTTACTGCTTGTAAACATCATTTCTTTTTGGAGAGTTGATTGCTCCTCTTCGATGTAAAAATTGGTGAATATTTTGACAGTTTCATTTTAAATGCATTTGTTTGTTGTCTCTTCTGTGTGTAATGAATGTGGAGATGCATTTAATCTACCTTGATTAGTTCCTGGCCCATGGAATACTATGTGGTAGATTGTGTAACATTTGAATAAACTGATTTAGTAAATTATCTACTTACTGAGCTATTTATTGATGTTTAGAATTCACAGGGTTAATTGTTGCATAATTTAAAAATTTGTTTTTAAGAAGTCTAGTTTAGGAATATGTTGTCCATTGCTGTCTATTATTTTCCCTTTTCAGTCAGTTCAGTTGTGGATCTTGGATTCTTTGGCTACATGATGATGAATGTAATCTCTCAGATGAGAGGGAAAACATTTTTAATGATTAGTACCAAATTAATGTAGTTACTAACTAGAATATTGAGTTTTTAACCATGTTAATCTAATAGGGCAGCCACATTTTAAAATAAAGCTTAAAGAGTTAATTCTGAGTTTTATTTTGGCATTTTTCTCACATTATGAATTTTCTATCAAAGTTTAGTGTTTTTAGTTTATTATTTCTTAGGGAAAACACAGTTCAGACTTAGTGCATGAGAGATGTGCATAGACTTTCAGTGTCATGCACTTTACCTGAGTACATGTTCTGGAACAGTCCCTACACTAATGATAGAGTTGTGTTGGTGTCTTGTCCTTCCCTGTGATGCTAATGGATATTTTCTTCTGTAGGTCTTGATTCTGTGATACTTGCTTTCTTGATGTTTTGATTTGGCAGTTCTTCTTTCTTCTCTGCTGCCTTGTTTTAACTTTTTGCCCGTTTTCCTACTTTCCTGCTGAATAGCCAAACATACCTGAGGTACTGTTTTTTTGTAAAGGAAGAAAAATCACTCTGCACCTGTCTCCCTAGCCTGCCATGCCTGTTGGTTCCTTTGAAATGAAGTGCGGCAAGGAGTTTGACACAAATGATGATGGGGGAAATATTTTCTGTTTTTCATTTGTGAAGTCAGTGTACTGTTGTATTTTGTATTCAAGTGTATTAAGGATCATTGTGTAACTTTTATTTATTTTAAATCTAGAGAGGGTCAAGTAAGAGAGCATAAGTTTTCAGAGAATTATAAGAGACAGAAGATGGCATGCTTTTCTGTGAAAGGCCAGCAAATATTTTCATTCTCTGTCACAAACACTCTGCCTTTGTGGTGTGAAAGCAGCCATCAGCATTACATAAACAGATGGGTGGAGCTGTGTGCCAATAAAATTTTATTGATTAAAAACAGTTGGTGTGGCTGTCAAGGCTGTGTTTGCCGAGTGCCTGTACATAGCAAGATACTTAATTTCCTTAGTTCTCCTTCCATTATAATGAGGTATGTTTTATTGTCAAGTCAGTTCTGTTCACAGTGTTGGACTTTCGCCGATTATTGGACTTTACTTGTGTTAATGATGTGGTAGAGGGAAGAGATGAGTTCCTGGCTACGGAAGGAGTTGTATTAAATGTTGTGAAAATTTGATGTCCCGATTTCATGAAGTAGTCCTATGTATTATTTCGTTCTAGGACCATTAGTTTGCTCTTCTTAAATACTGCACTGGCTTTTGTTTTTAAGCCGTCTGAAAGCTGTTGTGCTGTTGTTTAAGATTGATTGAGCATGCGAACATTAACTGAGCACCTACTATGAACCAGATGGGAAGCTAGAACTTGATTCCTGTTCTCACAATTCTTTCAGTTTCCCCGGATTCAGATTTCTCAAACAAATACATTACAAAGTTAGCAAGCTCTTGTTAGTATATTTCCACTATTGTGTATTCATTGTGTGGTGCTTCAGCTGGCCCTGGAAACATTTACTGTCACCCACTTCTCTTTGGAGCATTTATTGCTTACAAAAGCCTGACCGTTTGCATTAGGTGTATCTCTCACTCATCCTGGGTTAGGCAGTCAGTGCCTCTCTAAAAGTGTTGATAAAGACTCTCACCAGAAACAAAGTTAAATGTGCAAATTAGCATTTTACAACTGTAAAAATAAGCCTTCTCTTCCGTGTCCAGTGAAACCATTAGATTGCACATGCTGTGAGCTTGGTCTGCCCTGCTTTGTGTTCTTGCCGCTGTCTGTTGGGAAGCTGCCCTGTCCGCCTGTGCGCTCATTTAGTCCAGAGTGTCAGAGTGTTGGCGTCCCTAGACTCATCACCTGTAAGAATCCTTTCCTGACTTTTCCAGGAAATTCAGAGCTTTTGTCTTTTGCCATCAGTAGCACTAGGATGAGAGCACTGATCTTGAATCGTATCTTTTTAATTATGCATTTGCTTATGTCATCCACTAGGCTCCAAGCTCATCCTTATATGAACATTGTCACTAGGCCTGACACATTATGAATTATTCTGAGAAAATGTGGATTTCATGTGACAAACCTGAAGTAACCAAACCACTTAGGCTGTTTTTGGTCAACCTAACATAATGCCAGTTATGTGAAAATAAAGTTGATTATTGGCACAGACTTGGAAGCATTTCATTAATGTTAAAACTTCATTCAGCAGAACTTGGAAAGTGTATGCTGGCGAGTTAGCTTCGCTTTCAGCTCAGGACACAGTGCTGCTGTAACCAGATGTTCCACAATCCGTTTTCTCTTTGAAATAACTACACTCAATTTTCTGACTCTGTGGGTACAAAAAGAAGTTTACAGTTCTTTTTGAAAAACTTCTGACCTGCCCTCTGGTGCTCTTAGGAGATAGAATAATTCTCTCATGTAGAATCTTATGTCTTAATTTCACAGTGAAATTTCACAGTGGTTTTTGTTTTATGCAGTAGCATTAGATTGGGGTGAGCATTTGGCATAGTAGTTAAGACACCACTTGGGATGTCTGCATCCTGTATGGATTTGAGTCCTGGCTCAGCTCCAATTCCAGCTTTCTGCTCAGATGCACCCTTGCAGTCAGCAGTGATGGCGCAAGTATTCAGATCCATGCCACCCACATGGTAGACCTGGATTGATTCTGGCTGCTGTGTTTGACCTGGCTCAACCCCTGCTATTGTGGCCATTTGGGGAGTGAACCAGGAGATGAGAGATCTCTGTCTGTCTGTCTCTCTGCCTTTCAAATAAATAGAATGTTTTTAATTAAAAAAAAAAAAATCTAGTGATTAACAATATCGGTATTTGGCATTTAGCAGCTTGAATGTTACCCAGCTCTAGGAAGAATCAAAATTTAGAGAATTTTTACTTTTGACAGCTTGAAGCTGTGCATGCAGTAGTTCCTCCTGGAATTTAGTAACTAGAGATTTTTGTGTGTGTATCTTCTAGTTTTCTCTTAAAAACCATATTACAAGGTTTAAGTTTTAAGAAGCTAAAGCATTGTATTTTTTGGACAAATGAAATTACCTGACAATTTTCCTTTTGGTTTGCTGCTAAGAGTATTAAAATTTAATCTTAACCCTGAGGCTGAGAAAGTGATCAAGGAACTTCAAGCCTCTGGAATAATTGTGTATACTAAATGACCTTTTAAGTTATTTTTTCTGTGTCTTAAATGAAAGTTTCATGAATTCTGTATACCCTTTCACAGATTCTCCAAATACTAATATTTTACCATATTTCTGAATAAAGCAATCATAACTTTTTTTGAGAACTCTTTAAGAATGTTTTAGACATGCTATTTATTTTTAGAGAAATTTATTTATTTGAAAGTCGGACTTTAGCAGAGAGGGTAGAGGAGAGGCAGAGAGAGAGAGAGAGAGAGAGAGGTCTTCCATCCGATGGTTCACTCCCCAATTGGCTGCAATGGCTGGAGCTGTGCCAGTCTGAAGCCAGGAGCCAGGAGCTTCTTCCAGGTCTCCCACACGGGTGCAGGGGCCCAAGGACTTTTTCTGCTTTCCCAGGCCATAGCAGAGAGCAGCCAGGTCTCAAACCAGCGCCCATATGGGATGCAGGCACTTCAGAGCAGGGCGTTAACCCGCTGCGCCATAGCGCCTGCCCCAAGACATGTTATTTCTTTTCAACACTCTTAAATACCACTGAATATTGCCTCAAAACATAAGACATTAGAACATAGCTGTAAGAGTACCAGTTCAAATCCCAGCTGCTACACTTCTCATCACACTCCCTTTATTTATTTATTTATTTATTTATTTATTTATTTATTTTGACAGGCAGAGTGGACAGTGAGAGAGAGACAGAGAGAAAGGTCTTGCTTTTTCCGTTGGTTCACCCCTCAATGGCTGCTGCAGCCGGCGCACCGCGCTGATCCGAAGGCAGGAGCCAGGTGCTTCTCCTGGTCTCCCATGCAGGTGCAGGGCCCAAGAACTTGGGCCATCCTCCACTGCCTTCCCGGGCCACAGCAGAGAGCTGGACAGGAAGAGGAGCGACCGGGACAGAATCCGGCACCCCAACCGGGACTAGAACCTAGTGCCGGCGCCACAGGCAGAGGAGGATTAGCCTAGTGAGCCGTGGCGCCGGCCATCACACTCCCTTTTAATATTCCTGGGAAAGTAGCAGAAGATGGCCCCAAGTATCTGGATCCCTTCCGCCCTCATGTGGAGACCTGGATGGAGTTCCAGTCTCCTGGCTTTGTCCTGGCTCAGCCCTGGCTGTTGGCATCATTTGGGGAGTAAACTACTGGAACAAAGATCTCTCTCCCACCCCTTTGCTCTCCCTTTAGAATAAATAAATTAATTAATTAATTTAAAAAATCTTTGGGCTGATCCTAAGCCAGGAGCAAGGAGCTTCTTCTAGGTCTCCCACATGAGTGCAGGGGCCCAAGGACTTGGGCCATCTTCTGCTGCTCTCTCAGGCACATTAGCAGGGAACTGGATCAAAAATGGAGCAGCCATGCCTCGAACCAGTGTCTGTATGGGATGCAGGCACCACAAGCAGCAGCTTTACCTGCTATACACCAGGGTGGGCCCCCAAGTAAATCCTTTTTTTTTTTTTTTTTTTTTGAAGATTTATGTATTTGATTTGAAAAGCAGAGTTAGAGGCAGAGAGAGAGGTCTTCCATCCACTGGTTCACTCCTCAAATAGCCACAGTGGCCAGAGCTGAGTTGTTCTGAAGCCAGGAGCCAGGAGCTTCCTCTAGATACAGGGGCCTAAGGACTTGGACGATCTTTTCTTGCTTTCCCATGCCATAGCAGAGAACTGGATCAGAATTGGAGCAGTGGGGACTCCAGCCGGTGCCCATATGGTATGCTGGCACTACAGGTGTTAGCTTTACCCACTATGCCACAGTGTGGGCCCCCCCAAATCTTTAAAAAAATAGCTATAGTCCACTATCAAAATCAGGAAATTACCATCGATAGAGTACTATTACCTGATCTGTAGATTCCATTCAGAGTCAACCAGTTATCCTGGGGCCGGTGCTGTGGCGCAGCAGGTTAACGCCCTGGCCTGAAGTGCCAGCATCCCATATGGGCGCCAGTTATAGTCCCGGCTGCTCTTCTTCCAATCCAGCTCTCTGCTGTGGCCTGGGATAGCAGTAGAAGATGGCCCAAGTCCTTGGGTCCGTGCACCTGCGTGGGAGACCCAGAAGAAGCTTCTGGCTCCTGACTTCGGATTGGTGCAGCTCCACCCATTGCAGCCATCTAGGGAGTGAACCGTCGGATGGAGGATCGATCTCTCTCTCTCTCTCCTCTCGTAATTCTGACTTTCGAATAAATAAATATTTTTTAAAAATAAAAATAAAAAAATAGTTAACCTGTGAATGTCCTTTATAACAAAAGGAGAAGAAAAGACATATGTCTTCATGGACCAAATGGGCGTGAGTGTGTGGTCTAGCAGTTAAGTTGCCAGATGAGGTGCCCCTAACCCATATTGGAGTACTGGGTTTGAGTCCTGGCTCTGGTGCCTGATTCCAGCTTCCTGCTAATGCAGGCAGCAGTGGTAGCGCAAGTGATTGGGTTCCTGCCACCCACTCATCGCTTCCACTCAACCCAGTCCTGCCCTGGCTGTTGCTGGTCATTCGAGAGGTCAACCGGTGGATGGGGAACTTGTTCTTTTTCTCGTGTGTGTGTGTGTGTGTGTGTGTGCCTTTATTTATTTATTCATTTGTTTCAAAGTCAGCATTAGGGAGAGGCAGAGACAGAGGATCTTCTGTGGGGAATAAGGAGCCAGACCCAAGGATCAAACCCAGGCTCTGTGATGTGGAATGCAGGTGTCTTAATTGCTAGGCTAAACACTCACCACAGGACTGCAAAATTTTTTTGTACCAACATAAACTTGTCTTTTCATTCCATTTTTCTCTGAAAACTTTTTGAAGTATTTTCATGTGATTTCCTTAATTCCCACATTATTTGCTATTGCACATGGGATAAATTCCACAGGTATTTAATGTGTAATAATGTCCTTGTGACATTTTTCATCCTTGTCATCCCCCATTTCCCTTTGTTAGCTGCTATAAACTTGTTTTCTGCATGCATTGTGGCTTTTCCGCTAGCTCTTTCGTTTGTGCTGTTTGTTTTTTGAATTCCTTTTCCTTCCCATCAGCCTCATGAATACTCAACAGTTCTTGTAAACACAGCTCCTGTTGCTCCCTCAGAAGCCTAGTGATTCCCCTTGCCTCCCCTTCACCTGTGCCTCTGCCGTCAGTCATTCGCTTCTGTGCTCCTCCTCCTGTGTGCCTCCAAAGCAAGGTCTAGATCTCATTAATATTGGAATCCCCAGTACGGAATTCATTTCTGGCTCCTAGTAGGTGTTCAAGAAATGCTAAGATGTTAAATTTAATTGAGTCAAATACAAGAGTTAATAAAGCTATCTTTGGTCATTTAGATAAAACCTATCAATAATCAGTGGGCTTAACTGGGGAACTTATACAAAGCTCTTTTCAGTTAAGTCAGCATGTCATTTTGGAAAAACCTTTGGGAGTAGAAGTGAAAGTTGTGGAAAGACTCAAATTAATCTTTCAATTATACTTGAACAAATTTTAATATACTCTGAGTGTGAATCAGTATCTTTTCTACTGTTGCATGGATTTTTTTCCTACCTTTTTTGATGTAAGGAAATGGGTTTTAATTTTTAGCTTGCTGCTGTGTCATTGGAGCAAAGTAGCAGTACAATAAAAATTGTATATATCTTAAAATGCATTGTAATTATTTCTGTGCTATTTAGTTATTTAGTATTGAAATTTGCATGATATTATAATCCCCAGGATTCTTACACGATATCTTCTCCAATTTTATATAGAATTTTTGAATAGTTAACAGGTGTTTGCATCTCTGAATACAGAAACTGATGGAAAAAGCATTATAATAATACACATAAACTGCTCAGTTTGAATATGTAACTTACCAGAAAGTTGTATGTAATATCTCCTCTCCCGGTGATTATTTTTATACTTTGATGTTGTTTTCTTCCTCCCTCCCCCTGAAATGAAACATTATGTAAAAGGATCAGAGATCAAGAGGTCCCAGAGGATGTGCACCTCAGGCCGGAGGACGTCCCTTCAGATCTCAGAGTCACTACCTGCAGTGTCGGCCTGGAACACACAGCAGAGGAGCCTGCTGCGGAGATATGTAGGAACTCTCCAGGTGAACTGAGTGTTCCAGTGGACAGCTCGGAGCTTTGTGCTTTGTCCTCAGCATCTCATCAGGAAGCAGCCAGTAGTGAGAGGGATAAAAATCCTGGTAACTACAAATCTGCATTTCGACCAGAGGTTGGCAGCAGCTCGCAGGATTCAGCCGTCTTAGATCAGGAACTGTACAACTCTTTCTATTTCTGGAGGACTCCTCTTCCTGAGATAGACCTAGATGTGGAGCTTGAACAGGACATTGGGAAAAACCTCAGCCCAGAGAGACCAGAAGCAGCATCTGAAATCCCCAGGCCAGGTTCTCCAAACATTACCATGGCCACCAGAAAGGAACTTGAAGAAATGATAGAAAATCTCGAGCCCCATATTGATGACCCCGATGTTAAAGGTATGGACGAGTCGACCAAGTTCTTCATTCTAGCACTGATAATAAAATGTTATTTTCTGACTTTAAAAACATTTTTCTTTCCAGGAAAAATTGCCTACCTTTAAACATGGCCATCATCATCATATATTCTTAGATTCTTTTTGTAAATATGATGAATCTAGTTTTAGTACATTTAATTTAAGGTTGGCTCCTAACTGTATTCAATACTGTGGTTTATACAAATGTGTTGACTTAACAAATTCCTGTGTTGGAATTTTTACATTATTCAGTGTTGCGCATTTTCATTTTGAGTTTTGCCTTAACTATTTTGCTCTATATCTCATTAGCTTTTTATAAAATAGAAGTGTTTTTTATAAGGGAGAGCTGTGGTCTTAACAGTGAGTGGAAATGTTTGTTTTCCATGGACTGTGATGTTTTAAGTGCTGTAGGTTTGTTTGTTTTAATTGGGAGGCAGAAAGTGAGAGAGCGTTTTGTATCTGCTGGTTCACTCCTCAGTTGCCCTCAAAGGCTGGGAGGCAGAAACCAGGAGCCAGGAACTCAAGCCAGGACTCCTAAGAGAGTGGCATAAAACCAGTTACTTAAGTCACTGAAGCTGTCCTCCGGAGCTTCTATTAACAGGAAGCTGGTCAGGAGCTGGATCCGGGTGTCAAACCCAGGTACTTCACTGTGGGATGCGGGCATCACAACTGGCTTTTTTTTTTTTTTTTCCTCATTTGAAGGAGGACAGAAAGAGATCTTCCATCAGCTGGTTCACTCCCCAGGTGGCTGCAACGGCCAGGACTGAGCCAGGCCAAAGCCAGGAGCTTTTTCCAGGTCTGCCATGTGGGTGGCAGGAGTCCAAGCACTTCTGCTTTTCCAAGGCTATTAGCAGGGAGCTGGATCGAAGTGGAGCAGCCAGGACTTGAACTGGCACCCATATGGAGTGCTGGTGTCACAGGCTGTGGCTTGACCCACTACACCACAGCACTGGCCCCCTGCTGGCTTTTTAACTGCTAAACTAAATGCCCACCCCATCTTAATATTATTTTTATCTTATTTATTTATCTGAGAGGTAGAGGTGACATTTTTTGGTTTTGGTTTCTTTCCCTTGAGTTACACATAGTATCACCTGGATTCCTATTAACAAGGACCTTAATAGTTGTTCTAGTGTTAGTATCTGAAAATAAAATGTTTTCTTTTATTAGATGGAAAGTGTGTTCTAAGTATGGCAGTATGAAAATGAAATGACGTTTCTCACTCATGGTGAGGAAGAGGGTTGCAGTCAGTGGGGCCAGCGCCTGGTGAAGGTGTTGTTTCCACTCCTTGGAGGCCTTAACCCTCTCGATAATTCGTCATGATCATTCAGAGAAATTTGAAATGCCATTTAAAACAAAAAACAACTTTGAAAAATCCTGTAACTACAACTCTTCAGATCTCATATGGCTGTGAGTTGGTTTTTTTTGTTTTTTTTTTTTTTTCTTCCTTGTTGATTCTAAAAACTAAAATGCTAAAAGTGCGTTTGCTCAGTGTTGGGAAGTTCCCGTCTCTGAGGTGGTGCCTTCGGGGTCCTCCTAAAGCACGCACAGCATTGTTATGCTCAAACTTTGGAAACTGCATCAGTGCTGCTAAGGTAGCACTTTCCTTTATTTGGCTTTAGTTTATTGTGATTTTTAGAGGTTTTCTATTATAATTTAACACATGGAGGAAAAATAAATGATCAGATTAAAGGCTAATTCATATCCTTGGGTGTTGGAAATTATTTTAGCTGATGAATGATCATTTTGGCTTTTTCTAACCTTTGTTTTTTAAGATTTATTGGAATATAATTTGTATCAGTAAAATTCAACTTTCTGAGTGGGTAGTTCCGTGAGATTGGACAGTGTATGGCCAAGTCACTGCCACCACAGTCAGGACACAAACTTTCCCTGTGCCCCTCGTAGCCAGTTCTCCGTCCAGCCCAACCTCTGGTGAACGCTGGTCTATTTTCTGGCCTCATGATTTTGCCTTTTCCAGAACTTCGCTTAGAGAGAGTCAGGCGACAGGTAGCCGTTTTGAGTCTGACTGTCACTGAAACCTAATGTCAAAGATTGGTCCTTGTTGCCGACATCAGTGGTTTGCTCCCTTTTTATTGTTTTCTGAAACCACGGCAAGCAGAGGACTGAATATTTTTTTTTTAACTTTTACTTAGTAAATATAAATTTCCAAAGTACAGTTTATGGATTACAATGCCCCCCCCCATAACTTCCCTCCCACCCACACCCCTCCCATCTCCCACTCCCTCTCCCCTTCCATTCTCATCAGGATTCAGGACTGAGTATTTTCAGCAGAGCACTCTGTTTTTCTTTCCCTCTCACGGTGGGTATCTTATAGTTTTACTATCACAGCTTCATTCCTCAACTGGGGGCTTGTGTAAATTTTTTTTTTTTAAGATTTGTTTGTTTAGGGGCCAGTGCTGTGGCATGGCGGATAAAGCTGCCGCCTTCAGCCCCATCATCCCATATGAGCACCAGTTCATGTCTCAGCTGCTCTACTTCCAATCCAGCTCCCTGCTAATGCACTTGGGAAAACCACAGAAGATGGCCCAAGTTTGGGTTCCTATTACCCTCATGGGAGACCCAGAAGAAGCTCTTAGCTCCTGGGTTTGGAGCAGCCCAGCTGTGGCTGTTGCAGCCTTTTGGGGAGGTGAACCAGCAAATGCAATCAATCAATCAATCAATCAATCTCTCTCTCTCTCTCTCTCTAACTCTAACTCTGCCTTTCAAACAAATAAAAAAGAGAGAGAGAGCTTCCATCCACTCACTAGTTCACTCCTCAGCTGGCCACATGGCCAGGACTGGGCCAGGCTGAAGCCAGGAGCCTGGAGCTTCCTCCAGGTCTCTCACAAGGGTGGCAGGGGCCCAAACACTTGGGCCATCTGCTACTGCTTTTCCCAGGCCATTGGCAGGGAGCTGGATCGGAAATGGAACAGGTGAGACATGAACCGGTGCCCATATTGGATGCCGGTGTTGCAGGTGACAGGTGAAGTTTTACCCACTACACTCCGATGCCAGCCCCCATGTCATTGATTTTTTTGCCCCTCCCTGCCCCCATCCTGCCATTTTCCACATTTTATGACAACCCAATGATACAGGAAGCACTGAGATTTTCGTTTTGTTTATAAACTAGAATCTGTTCCACAATCTTGCCTTTATGGCCTCCCTCCATTCCTTCGTTTTCTTCTACCCCGTATGTGGAGAATTGAGGCACAAAGAATTATGTCTGAAACTAAGGATGCTCACAGCTAAGGATAGCTCTTCAGTAAGTGTTTAATGTCTTTACAACTTTCATCTTTTCATTTAAGTCTGTTATGTATCAGCTTCAGTTTAAGTTCATCAAACTTCAATAACTCATGTCTTTTTTTTTTTTTTCTTAAATTCCATTTTTACGGGGAAAAAACGATTGCCAGGCCTAAGGCTTTTCTGGGAGCTGTCATGGTAAACACTACTGGGTCTCTGATATATAGTAGGTAGTAAGTTGAGAAATAGAGTACATGGTTTTAATATTTTTTCCCTCCAACACTTGGCTCTGGCCTGGCCCAGTTCCGGCTATTTCAGCCATTTGGTTAATAAACCAACAGTTGGAAGATCTCTTCCACCCTCCTATCCCTGTCACTCTGCCTTTCAATTAAATCTTTAAAAAAAAAGACACTGGTTAAGATGCCCACATTCCAGATTAGAGTCCCTGGGTTCAAGTCCTGGCTGTGCTCTCAATTCCATCTTCCTGTGAATGCATACTCTGTGAGGCAACTCAAGTAATTGGGTCTCTGCCACCCACAGGGGAGACTAGGTTGGGTCCTGGGCTCCTGGCTGCCACCTAACACTGGCCCAGCCCAGCCATCGGAGGCATTTGGGGGAGTGAACCAGTGGATAGGAAACACATGTCTGTCTATTTCTCTCTCCCCCCTTCTTCTCTCCCCCTCCCTCCCTCCCTCTCTCCCTCTTTTCCTCTCTTCCTTCTTTTTTTTTTTTAATGAAATACAAATTCCTTTCCAGTTTAGGCCCAGTGGAAGAACTGGGCCCTTTTAGCAGTCTCTCTCTTTTTTTTTTTTTAATGAAATACAAATTCCTTTCCAGTTTAGGCCCAGTGGAAGAACTGGGCCCTTTTAGCAGTCCTGGTCAAAAAATCATTAAAATCAGTAAATTGTTAGTAGGAAATTGTAGAGGAGTTAGAGGTTAGGAAGGGTTAGCTCAGCCATGCCAGCCTTTTCAAGAAAGGAGTAGATGTGATGATCCCAGGAGGCCCTGATTTCTAAGCATGTGTCATTGAGGACTGCACTTCTTCATGAATCTTGGGTTTAAATGAGCGAAATGTGTCTTCCACAGGTGTGTGCTTAAGTTGCTTGGTTTTCCTCACTGGGTTCTTCTCTGCATGTGTGTGCCTGATGAATCATGTTGAACCACAATGGTCTGGATTGACGGTTTCCACCCAGAATGTTAATTTATTGACTGTGTGAGAGACATGGCCTGAACTAGGAGGAGATTACCAGTTCCCCTTGTGTTCTTGGATCTTGGTGGACAAAAATATTTCAGCAACTGTGTCTCGGAATAGCAATCTAAGACTGTTAGTAAGAAAACTAGCATCAGATTTTGGTGATGCTCACAATTTTTCAAATCCGTTGCTGCATAACTGGTTCTTGGATTTCAGTCTGTGTTGTGGGTGAGATGCAAATCTTGATGAACACTTGTGTGTTCAGTTCCTTGCATCCTTCAGGGAGGTCAACTCTGTGTCCAGGCAACACTTCAGCAGTCACTGAGCCTAGATTCTGTTGTGTTCTCTGGCTGGAGTTGTGAATTCTCGCTGGGCCCCATCTTCTTTGTATCAGTTTTCTAAAGATACTGAGTTCACAGTGTAACTCAATTTGTATGTGTTTATGAACAGACAGATCAGAGTTAACATGGACAGAGTGAAGGGAAGTGCACTGTCCATGTGGAGGTGAATGGCCTGTGTAGTAAGTCCTCCTCTGTGAAAGGCTCTAATTTTTATTACTTCCCAGGGAACAGTAGGGGTCATACTCACACACCATGTACCTTGTGTGGTACAAACATCTTAGCCTTTATGTATTGCGCAGTATACTTTGAGCTGTTTTATTTTGGTTGGGGAGCACTCAGATGATTTTTTTAAAAAAATAAATAAGGGTTGGTACAAACTGCAATGAAATTCTGCGAAGAATGAGAACCGTGCATTAGCACTTGGAGTGAGCAGCACTCTCAGTTACTTGATTTAGCAAGTAATGAGCACCTAGAAAAGAACCTCATCCTTTGTGTCTCCTGCATGTCGTATTGGGTTGTCTTAATAAAGCACTGTAATGATTGCCCTGTTTAAATACATTTGAATTTTAAATGGTCATATTTTGAACATCCAGGTGGATTGTAATTTGGAGTAAGTGCTGAGCAGTACTTTTGGCTGAATTTCACAGTTATTTGGGATTGGAGATTGGAAGAATGTTTTTTCTTAATTTTTAATCACCACTATAAGGGAGGCAGTGCTAGTGCCCAGGTTTAAGAACCACTGCTTGATAAGTTGCCACTTTGGTTTTCTGCAAGCAATACAGTGCTCACTGGGGATCCCTGGTTTGGGGACAAGGTATGAGTTTCATTTTCAAAAAGAAATTGGGGAAAGTAAACTGGAATGAGCTATGAAATGTTGAAATCTTTGTCATTGCCATTGTTTTGTGTTGGCAGGGTGTGTGGCTGCTCTTCTGCTAAGATAGCGTAGTAAGTAAGCCTTGCCAGTCTGATTCACACACTACCAAACATAGCGACTCACCCTGAACTTGACTCCTTTAATACACTGGACATGCCTCCAGCAATTAGATAGCATCTCTCTTTCATACTAACGCAGAATAATGTACAGTAGTGGATAAATGTTTAATCTCATGAAAGCATATTAGTTTTCTACTTTTTCTCTGAAAAACTAATGATTTCCTACAGTAGAAATTTTTTTCAGCTGTTTGATGGCAATGTCAAAAAATTACACCTTTCATTGGTAGTGTGTAAAGCAACTGGGGAAGCTTGAACTTGCTCACTGTGTGTCCTCCTCTGCCCACAGCCCAGGTGGAGGTGCTGTCCGCTGCACTGCGTGCATCCAGTCTGGATGCCCATGAGGAGGCCGTCGGCATAGAGAAGAGAAGTGACCTGGAAGATGATCTGGGTATAAATGAGCTACCAAACTGTAAAATAAGCCAGGATGATTCTGTGCCTTTAATCAGCGATGCTGTTGAGGTAACGAACTCTGTCAAGTCTTGCCCACGTCTGAGAGCAGTTTCGGTCAGAAGTCTCTTGTTGGGGAGGAGGTGTAGCTCATCACTTTGTCCTTAGTGCCTTCTGTTTGTTGCTGGGTTTTCAGCTCTTCCTTTCGCATAAAGCAACAGTAGTCTTTCTCACCATGGCCTGTCCTTGACACAGCAGTGTCCTTTTAAATGCCTGGAGTGGCAAAGCCCAGGCCTGTCTCCGTGACCACTTGGTAGACCCAATGTTGACTTAGCTCACTGCAGTGAAATAGTCTTACTGGAAACAAAGCCCTTTATCAAGAGTGATTAACTCTTTCCTTTTCTTTTTGGAGAGGTGCTTTGTTTCTGATCGGACCATTTCACTGCAGCGAGCAACACAGTATTCTGAGTGGAAGATCGGGACTTGAGGCCGTGGTGCGGAGGGCCAGTGGCATTATCTGGACTCTGGAGTGTGAGGGTGGGTACTGCCACTAGCATCGTCTTCGCTGCCTACCTGTAGCTCCTCTGTGTAGCCCTCCCCTCATTTCCTGCTCCATCCTCATGAAGCCGGCATCATGTGCTACCCTTGTTGATGTGAGTGTGGAGAAGGACGGCATCGCAGCTAGTCTGGCCTTAGCTGCTGGGCGCTGGGCTTAGGAAAGCGCCTCCGCGCACACTGTGGGCAGGGAGAGACTTCGCAGCACCTCACTGCATCTCTGTTCTGATCGTTGTCAGCTGACATCGGTGCAGTTAGAAGTCTGTGTAACACCAGTGCCTTGAAATCAAGCCCTGAGCGCTTACTGGAGATTGGACTGTTATGATCTGTCTGCATTTGGGAAGGTTGTTTTTCTTGAGTGTTTTAATTCTGTTTTTTTTTTTTTTTTTTTTTTTTTTTTTGGTAAAAAATTGGTGTTTATGAAAATCGTACTAACAGCCTTGCTAGATAGTAGAAGCAGCACTCTGTCTGCCCACGTGGCCTCTGAGGCAGCTGACGGACAGAACCCTCTCAGCACTGTTTTGTAAACGGGCTGATCTGTGATACTTGCTTTCTAGTTACTGTTGGTTTTCTGGAACTCATGTTCGTGCATCCCATTCAGCAAGTTTGATTTAAGGCAGGGACGTGCTTAGGAGGTCTTAGGTATGTTTGTAAACGTTTTAAAACACGACAGATTTGTATGTATTTGTATCTTTGGGCACTCTTGGGAGGTAAGTAACTTAGTAAGATTAAATGGAGAAAACGTAGAGCCGGGACACTGCTTTAATTGGGTGCTTTATCCTAACAGAATATGGACTCCTCCCTTCACTATATCCATAACGATTCAGACTTGAGCACCAACAGCAGCTTCAGCCCTGAAGAGGAAAGGAAGTCCAAAATCCAGGTAAGTGACCAGCCTCTTTCTCCTGTGTGCATGTCCGTAGTTCCCTTTTAAAGCCCGTTTCGGATCTGGTATAGTCTTCCTTTGTGAGTGCTTTTAAGATAGAAGAGACAAATGTGCAGTCGTCCTTTCTTCCCCATCGCCCTGGAGTCGCGCGCTTCACTCAGTGCGACCGGAATCTCGGTTCCGGGGTGCCCTCACGGATCTGTGGGCACCCGAGCTTCCACGTGTGCCCCCTTTTTGTCTTTCAAAATCAGGTGTGGTCCTGCCATCCTGCTGAAGTTGCTGAGATTCACAGAATACGGCAGGATTTCAGAGATTCAAATGTGCAAAGAGGCAGGAAGCCAGGAGGAAAGTGCCGTTGAGAATAGGTTGCCTTCCTTTCCTGGATTCTGAATGGGGAGGCGTGTGTGTGTGCATGCAGTCACCGCAGTGTGGCAGGTTGCGCTTTGCCTTTCCTTTTTTTTTTCCCCCTATAGTTGTATCTTGGAGCTCTCCGGTCATGAGCTCCCACAGCGCAGCAGCAGAGGGTTCACACAGCGCCTCTTTACAAAAAAACTTTGTATGATTTGAAAGGCAAAGAGAGAGAAATCTCTCAACCACTGGTTCATTTCCCATATGCCTGCAACAGCCAGGGCTGGGCCAGAACAAAGCCAGCACTCAGAACTCCATCCGGGTCTCCACATGGGTGGCAGGTACCATCTCCTGTTCTCTCCCAGGGTGCTCATTAGCAGGAAACTATAAAAGAAGTGGAGCCAGGTTTGGAACCTAGCCATTCTGATGGGCTGGTGTGGGGTACAGGTATCCCAAACAGCATCTTGACCTCTGTGCCGTGACTGAAATCATGGCACAGGTGCTTTTGGTTATAGTTTGGTTTTGTTGTTGCAAGCAGTGCTGCATTCATTGTGATTGTCTACCCATGCTTGGTTCTGGGACTGAATTATTGTCAGGAGTGGATATCAAGTCAATGTACACAGATTATCTTATTCTTTGAATGAATTTCATGTTCATTTATTTGTTAAATAACTTACAGGTAGTAAGTTTATGGTGCTCAAGATTCAGAAAGGAAAGCAGGCTGCAGTGAGTTTCCTGCTTGGTGTTTCTCCCCTGTTGGTCCACTTTGCTGCTTTCAGGTGTCCTTCTGCAGCTGCATTGGACACACAGACACATGCATTCTTCTGTCCCTCACATTTATGCAAGTCCTCATATGCATACACTCAAATGTTTTATGGATAGGACTTAAATTTCCATCTAATTCAGGCAGGATTTCGTTGTTTTTTTAAAAACATATTGCTAGTGTACACAAGACTACCTGTTTCACTCACTAGGGTGGGTGTACATCAGACTCTCATCTCTGCCTGCATTGAAAGGTACTGCTCTGTCTTTTAATAATCCTGATTGTCAGGACCGGTGCTGTGGCATAGCGGGTAAAGCTGCCGTCTGCAGCGCCAGCATCCCAAGTGGGTGCCAGTTCGAGTCCCGGCTGCTCCTCTTCCAATCCAGCTCTCTGCTCTGGCCTGGGAAAGCAATAGAAGATGACCCAAGTCCTTGGGTCCCTAGCACCCATGTGGGAGACCCAGAAGAAGCTCCAGGCTCCTGGCTTTGGATAACCCAAGCTCTGGCTGTTTTGGCTATTTGGGGAGTGAAACAGTGGATGGAAGACATCTCTCTCTGTCTCTTTCTCTCTTTCTCTGCCTTTCTGTAACTCTGTCTTTGAAATAAATAAATCTAAAAAAAAAAAAAAATCCTGAATGTTTTTTAAGCTGTTGTCTAAGATCTTAATTTATAATTGTCCTCCTAGAGTTGCTTTTGCTTATTTATAGATTTCCCATAGCGTGTGTTTCTTATGAATTCTTTCCAATTTTAGGTACTTAGAACTGTGATAAAATGCATATGCTTAAAAGTAATTTTGCCTAATATTGTGTTTAAATGGTTGAAAAATGTGTTTAAACTGCACCAAATGTGTCACTGTCATCTCTCCTTCATAGGATGTTGTACCCCAGGCTTTGTTAGATCAGTATTTATCCATGACTGATCCCTCTCGTGCACAGACGGTTGACACTGAAATCGCTAAGCACTGTGCTTACAGCCTGCCAGGTGTGGCCCTGACGCTGGGCAGGCAGAACTGGCACTGCCTGAGAGAGACCTACGAGACCCTGGCGTCCGACATGCAGGTGAGGAAGCACCTAGGAAGGAACGGAACATGCGTGTGGAAGGGTGATGTTCTGGCTTTCAGAATCTAAAGGATTTCTGTTAGTGTCCAGTACATAATTGGGGTTCAGTAAATTATGTATGAAAGAGCTTAAAAGTAACACCGAGAGCTAGCGTTCTGCTCTGATTCTGCAGTTTAGCTGCTTCATTTTGCCCCAAGGCCTTAGAAGTTGTCATCTTACTTAGTGTGCCCGAGTTCCTAACTTACAAATAGTTACTGTCCAAACTTTACCTGTAGGTTAATTCTTGAGAATATAGGATTTAATTCCCCCTCCCCCAGAAATTGTTATAAATGCTTATTTGATTTTTGCACTATAGATCCCAAGAGAGTTTTTCAACCTATGAGAACTGTAGTGTGTTCAGCACGGTTGTGAAAGTGGAAGAGGCGGAGCAGTGCACATCCTGCTGTCCCATGCCCTGGCACCACTTCTCAGCACGGAGCTACGCAGCTGGGCGGCTGGGAGTAACTTTCGATCTTTATTCCATGGAACTCTAGGGATTCCTATGGGATAGGGGCCTTTGGCTGCCAGGGTAGCTAGGCAGGCTCCCAACAGCCGGGCTCCGGTGCCTCCCATCCCCTCCAGGGCAGAATGTCTCTGAGACACACATCCATCTATTCTCTGAGAAGGGCATCTCCTAGCTGGGGAGGGCAGTGAGCGCTTCCTATAACCTGCTTGTCTGTAGGTCGAATTTTAAGTTAAATAGCAATGTAAAAGTTTTAAGTTTAAGACAACATAGAGGAAAAGATGTTTTTAACTTAAGGTTTTCAGTAATACAGTAAAAATTTCTGTTTCAAAATTGTTTTCCAGGCCTGTATGAAGATGATTTTCCTGTTCTCAGATTTCTTAAATTGTCAGTTCCTCATAAACAAGTTTTGCTGTTTTTTAATCCATGGTAGGCAGCCCAGAGTCTGAAAGGGAGCAGTGGAGTTGGGGATGACCCTGGGTACTAGTGAGCCAGGGCTGGGGCCGCACGCTCAGAACCCAGTGTTCCGACAGCTGCAAAACTGTTACTTGTTGTTTACAGGCAGTTTTTTCCTTCATAAATTAAAAGAGATGATAAATGTTGTAGAGGTTTAAGTTTTTTCTGTCATCATTTTTTGACACATAATAGGCATTAAAAACTTAGTATCTATTATTAAAACTGTAACTTACATTCTGATTTAATTTTTCTGAGTTAATACTTGGAGTCCTAGCGAGGCACTTGCTGACTAATGCAGTTTTTGTTTCTGCAGTGGAAAGTTCGAAGAACATTAGCATTCTCCATCCACGAGCTTGCTGTTATTCTTGGAGACCAGTTGACAGCTGCAGATCTGGTTCCAATTTTTAATGGATTTTTAAAAGACCTTGATGAAGTCAGGATAGGTGTCCTTAAACATTTGCATGATTTTCTGAAGGTAACTTTCAAATTATTTTTCTTAAAAACATTAAAATTCCACTGTAAGTCTGAAATCTTTTATATTCGGCTGTCACCAAGATGGATGCCTATATGTTTCCTTTGAGAAAATTTGGCCCTGAGTTGATGATGTGACAGAGTAGTCCCATTCTCATCTGCTTTACTGGTATCATTTTAACTTGAAAAAACACCAAATCTTAATGTGTGTGAGAGACAGGAGTTCTAACCACTGAGTCCACCATGTGGACGGCAGGGACCCAGCTATTTGAGCCGGCACCTGCTGCCTCCCAGGGTGCCCATGAGCAGGAAGCTGGAGTGGAGAGCGGTGTCAGAACCCAGACTAAGTACTTCAGTGTGGGATGAGAGTATCCCAAGCGGTGGCTTAACCATGGCACCAAATACCTGCTCCCCATTGTAATTTTTTAAAAGATCATGCTAAATTTCACTTTTAGATGATGTTAGATCATGGTTCCAAACATTTGTACCTTTTTTCATTTTCAAAATTATTGAATAAAATGGGTTTTTAAAAAATGTTCGTGAACCTTAAATGTGGTGGCATTCTGTGTGTTTCAGGAGATCTTTGATGAGGGATTCTGATCTGCTAGTCAATGAATACGTCTGACTTTTTATAAATTGTTTAATCTTGGAATGCTGTTATTAGGACATTAGCCTTGAAAATGAGTCCTAGAACTCTCAGCTTTGAGTTGTAAAAGTAGTTGTTATCCTACTTTCTAAAGTTAGCATTGTATTAAATTTTTGTTTTGTTCCTGTTAGAATTTCTCTGATTGTCCCGGTGAGATCCTTTCTAGCTTATCTCCGAGAATCCAGCCAGAAAGCTCACGTTAAATGTAAATGTTATGTCTCTTTCATTCTCTTTAATTTTAGAACTGTTTCCCTGGATTTGTGGTCTTGAATGGCATTGACATTGTCAAGAATCCATTTCAGTTGTGCACAGTGCCCCCAGTTTGAAGTTGTCTGCCGTGACAATGTTTGCTTCTGGGTAAACAGGCTTTTGCAGACACATTGTCCAGCTGAATGGGGCAGCATGTGTTTTCCAGACACGTCACGTCTGGGTGACACCATGGTAGTTCCGTTACCAATCTGACGTCACTTGTAGCGTCAGTTTGGTTTTTCCATTTCCAAGGACCTTTGACCTTTGACCTTTGTGACTGAGAAGTAATTGGTGAGCTGGTGCTTCTGAACTCCCATCTCCTTCCTGGTTCGTGGCCAGTGCTTTGGCCGTCCTCACAGGACTCTTGGCTGAATCAGTTGTCACTGTTGCTTGTAAAATGCTGATTGATTATTTTCCTGCTTCCTTCTACTTGTTATTTGTTAACATCCCATGGAAAGATAAGCTATCCATTCTCTCCCTCCTCCTTTTTGAAAGTAGACTCTCAGTGTGTGGTCTGGGGTTTTATTCAGTGTAATATTAGCCATTTCTGTCATCTCTGCCTCTCAGCCACCAGCAGGGGGCAAAAGAGCACATTCTCCACCTGCAGCACCACTCACAGACAAAGCTTTGAAGTCTGCCGCTTAAACACTGCATCTCATTGTCTTCCTCTTCATTTCCCCAGCGGCCGGTGAGGCTGAGCATATTTCCATGTTTTCCAACCGTTTTTCACTTTATAAATTTTAAATTATATTTGTTTCTCATTTTACTTATTTTGCTTCCGAGGGTCATTTTTGCTGATTTGTAGGGGCCTGCTATGTGGAGATGCTGTTGAGTAGGAAGTTATCACACAAGGGGTGCGCTGAGAATGGGCGCGCAGAACGTGAAGTGGGGTGGCAGGAGAGACGGCAGTTCTCATCTCCTTTGCTTTCCTGACCGTGAGTGTGTGGGGCACAGCCAAAATCCCCTGGGAGCTGGGAGCAGGATGGAATTGGCATAAGGCCAGTGCTCCCTGGGTGCTCACCCTGGCCTGTGTTCCGGGAGAAATGTCCATCTACACCAGGCATGAGTGTGGTCAAGAACGTCCCTTGGTTCAAGACCCTCATCTGGTCATTGGCTCCCAGCACATCACAGCTGATGTCTCCTTGATGGTGCTGGTGAGTTTCCAGCCAGGGACGTGGAAGGTGGCCTGGAAGCCTGATGTCCATGTTGCTTGTGTAGATCATCAGCTCACGAGCTAGTCCCGGGGGTCACTGGTCCTGCAGTGGGGTTGGACCAGGTCAGTCCCCAGGCAGGGTAGACCACTACTGTTCACCTGCCTACCTCACCCATGCCTTCCTGTTGTGTTGTCCTTAAGAAAAACCTGTTCAAATCTAAGAAAAGGTTAATCTGCTGACTTACAAAAAACTTAAAATGTAGCAGTCCAACTCAGATCCACCAAATTTTTTTTTTAAGATTTTATTTATTTGAGAGGTAGAGTTACAGTGAGAGGAAGAGACAGAGAGGTCTTCCATCCGCTGGTTCACTCCCCAAATGGTTGTTGGCAACGGTCAGAGCTGCGCTGATCCGAAGCCAGAAGTCAAGAGATTTCTGTGTCTCCCACGCGGGTGCAGGGGCCCAAGGACTTGGGCCATCTTCCACTGCTTTCCCAGGCCATAGCAGAGAGCTGGATTGGAAGAGGGGCAGGCGGGACTAGAACCGGCGTCCATATGGGTTGCCCGCAGGTGGAGGATTAACCTACTGTGCCACGGTGCCGGCCCCCCCACCTAGATGTTTCAAAAGTATAACTTTAAAAACACGAAAATGAAAAAAATCAGCTGCAGGTGTGGCACTGGCACAGCCGGTTAAGCCACTGCCTGCGATGCCAGCATCCCACATGGGCACCTGTTCAAATCCTGGCTGCTCCACTTCCAATCCAGCTCCCTGCTAATGCACCTGGGAAGGCTGCAGAAGATGGTTCAAGTCCTTGGGCCCCTGCACCAACATGGGAGACCTGGATGAGGCTCCTGGCTTCTGGCTTCGGCCTGGCCCAGTCCTGGCTATTGTGGTCACCTGGGGAGTGAACCAACGATGGAAGATCTCTCTCTCTTATAGATAGATAGATCTCTCTCTCTCATATATATATATATATATATATATATATATATATATATCATATCTCTCTCTCAAGCTGCCTTTCAAATAAATAAAATAAATTAAAAAAAAAATCTGCTACAAGGGGATGATGCCACGTTTTTATTAGCTCTTGTCTAAGGCAGTGCTTCGTAGTACCTACAGCCTTCATGAGAACTGGGCCGGAGGGTCCCCCTTTGGACCATGGGAGAGAAAGTGGAGTGATCCAGGGATGTGGGTCATGGTGGTGAAGGTCTTGCCCTGTAGTGAAAAAAACTAAAAAAGTAAATCAGTAGTGAGAAAAAGTTGCAAAGTGTCATTCCCTGGACCAAGCCACCCTGCAGCCTGGGGCCAGTGTGGCTGGTCTGTGTCGATCCCTGAGCACCCTGCTGCCCCCGCCTCTGTCCTGTGGCCCTGACATGCTCCTAGTCCTGAAAGAGGGTTTAGAGGTGGAGATGAGGCCTTCTTAGTCCAATCCCATTTGAATGGGCCTCTCTGGTGCCTGTGGCATTCTCCTCCTCGGGGTAGACAAGGGAAAAGCCAAAACCGCCCTTTCTCCCAGTGCTTTGCAGGCGCTGGCCTCAGTGTCCCCAACTGTGTCCTGAGCCCCAGGCTGGCTTCTGCAGCTCCACCCTTTGCCCTTGTCCCAGACTTAAGCCAGCAGGCCCTCTAGGCATTGTGGCAACTCCAGCATTCTCCCTGATTAACCCTGTCAGAGCCAGCAGTTCTCAAAAGGGTGGTCCCAGGACCAGCAGTGTCAGCACCCCCTGAAAATGTCACAGGAGCACATTCTTGGGCCCTGCTTGGATTGGTGTCCCCAGGGTGCTGTAGCATATTACCACAAACCTCGGGGGCTGAAACATCATGCCCTCTGACAGTTTGAGAGTCTACGTCTTGTTGGCTCTAGGGGACAGTCTCTCCCTGCCTCTTCCAGCTTCTGATGGTTGCCCACTGCCTTCAGTGTTCCTTTGCTGTTTGCTCTGAGCATCCCATTTGGCTCCAGGAACCCCTTAAGTTAAGCTGTCTCCTGTGCCCTTGTGGTTTGCCCCCATGTGAAGCATGTCCTAGCTCTCAGGCTCAGCTCCATTCCCTGCCCAGCCTGCAGTCAGCCCTGGTCCTTCCTGTGGTGAGAGGTGTTAGAAGCCAAGGTTCAGGCCCTAGGAGTGCTCAGTGCTCCCCAAGTGTCATGTCTTACAGCTTTGAGGAGTCAGGGCTTCAGAGCTGAGAGGTTTTTGTTTCTGTTTTAATATTTATACATTTATTTGAAAGGCAGAGTTAGAGAGTGAGATCTTCCATCTGCTGGCTCACTCCCCAAATGACCACAATGGCCAGAGCTGGACCTATCTGAAGCCAGGAGCTTCTTCCCAGTCTTCCCTGTGGGTGCAGGGCCCAAGCACTTGAGTCATCTTCCCCACTGCTTTCCCAGGCTTATTAGCAAGGAGCTGGATCAGAAGTGGAGCAGCTGGGACTTGAACTGGCATCCATATGGAATGCTGGCCCACAGGCAGTGGCTTTATGTCATTTGTGGGGCCAGCATTGTGGTGTAGCAGGTGAAGCCTCCTGCCTGTGACGCCTGCATCCCCTACGGGCACTGGTTCGAGACCCAGCCATTCCGCTTTTGATCCAGCTCCCTGCAAATGTACTTGGGAAAGCAGTGGAAGATGGCCCAAGTACTTGGGCCCCTGCACCCATGTGGGAGACCCAGAAGAAGCTCTGGCTGCTGGCTGCTGGCTGCTGGCTGCAGCCTGGCCCAGCCCTAGCAGTTGAGGCAATCTGGGGACTGAATTAGCAGATGAGAGTCTCTCTCTCTTTCTCCTCCTCTCTTTCTGACTCTGCCTTTCAAGTAAATAAAAAGAGTAAATCTTAATAAAATACCATTTGCTCAATAATGTAACATACATGAAATAGTTTCAGAATTACTCCACTAATAGTGATTCCAACATCAAATCAGCTAGTGATGTTCAAGGTTGCCTCAGCACATTCTGTCTTTAGCACCACGTTCGGGCTGCGGCTGTATTTCCTCTGTGTTACATGTTTGATGTAGTTGAGTTTACTTGTTTCCATTTAAAACAAGGAGTTCTCTTGTTGTTGACTGTCCACCATTAAACATGTGTAGAACAGGTATTTGGATCCTTTGGTTTTTTTCTGCTCAGCTTCTTAACTGCGCACCTGCAGTGTGTTATCACAGTGCCTCCACGGGACTGCAGCCCTGGCTGGGGCAGAGTCCCTGTCTTCAGAGTTCTCGGTCACAAGCGTGTCTTGTGAATGAAGCGGGTGAGAGCTATGAAACGCAACGCCCATGGTACTGTAGGGTTTCGTGCTGGTCACTGGCAGACTCAGGAGAAGGTGAAGAGAGACAAGGCGTTTAGCCTGCAGTTAAAACACTGCTTAAGATGCCCATGGCCAGGTTGCCTGGGTTTCAGGCCTGACTCCAGCGTCCTGCTGATGTGCACCTTGGAGACAGCAGGCGGTGGCTCAGGTAGTTGGGTCTCTGCCCAGGCTTAAGAGACATGGGTTGCATTCCCAGCTCTGGCTTTGGCTCTGGCTCTGGCTCTGGCTCCAGCCCAGCCCAGGCCCACGTCATGGGCATTTGGGGAGTGAAGCAGCAAATGGGAGTATGTGTGCTCTCTGTCTCTCACTGCCTTTCAGATAAAAAATAGTAAGTTAAAAAAAAAAACTTTAAAGCTGATAATTCTTGAAGGTAAATGGAGCTATATAGGAAAAGATGAATACCTACCTATTTTAAAACAATTAAATATAGGCACTACATTTATTTCTTCAGAAAAGTTGACCTTATTATAATCTGTCTTCAAGCACTCTAGTGAGAGAAAGGATGTCTGTACCCAACCTGGCTAACTTAAAACATCTTTATTTGGTTGCCTCAGCTTCTTCATATTGACAAGAGAAGAGAATATCTCTATCAACTTCAGGAGTTTTTGGTGACGGATAATAGCAGAAATTGGCGCTTTCGAGCGGAATTGGCTGAGTAAGTTCCCCGGTTCTCCTGATTGTCTTGCAGGGATGTATGTTTACGTTCTTTGTACCTTGTGTGGATCAGGGTTCCTGCCTGTGTGCTCCTCCGGCCTCTCTTGCAGTGCAGGTCTTGCTGGCCCCTGTGGTCTGCAGGGAGCTGGTTTGAGTTCGGCTGTGGGCTGCCATGGTGGAGTGCTGAGGGTGGGAGCGGAGTGCTGGGGGCTCTGTCTGGTGTCCGCACCCCTGCGTGCTGGGGACTGGTGCTCTCTTGCTTTGGTTCCCACTCATCTCTGGGGCAGCTTCGGGAGGCTGTGTGTGCCCTCCCCGCCAGCAGACTCCAGCTGGTGTCCGAGCTGGATCCCTCCTCACGGGGTCCAGCGCTTGCTGGAACAGAGTGTTCTCCCCGCCACTGCGTCTCGGCTGCCCCTCCAGTGCCCGCTGGGGGCAGGCGTCAGGCTTCTGCTTTGTATGGGAAAAGGGTGGAGGTGCCACCGCTGGCCTGACGCCTGACACCCATCAGTCACTTCCTGCCCACTCAGGGTCCCCTCCCTGGTCCTTTCCTGAGCAGGGGGAGGCGAGTTCCCCTGTGGCGGCCACACCCAGTCCACCCCCACCCCCAGCTGGCCACAGCTGCGGCTGCTTTCTCCCCGCCCTCCGAGGCTCCTGGGAGGCCCTTCGAGTCCTGTCTCTCCCCAGTTGGAAGTTGGGTGCCTGATAGGCTCAGGAAGAGATTTAGCGCTTTGCCCCTTGAGTTGGCATCACAGTGATGTTCTGCATCCCACACTGAAGCTGAAGACCTGCTCGGGATTTTTACATTGAACTTTTGTGTCAGAATCAGTGTGTGTGTCTCTCCTTGAGGAACGGTTCCGCTGTGTGTGTGTGTGTGTGTGTGTGTGTGTGTGTGTGCAGGCGCACGCACTGCTGGGCATCCGTGTTTGTAGTTTCCCTCTGCCGCTTAGACAGCATCTGGGAGGCAGAGCTCCCATTCCTGTGCAGGCTGTCTCCTCGGGTGTCACTGCAGCTGCTCCCGTCAGCCTGCTGGGTGTCGTGCTGACCTTGGGCTCTGGCTGGTCGCAGCAGGACAGTCGTGGAGGGCCCCCTGGCTGCTGTCAGCCTCGGCAAGTGTCCCCTTCCCCAAGAAGCCACTCACAGGCTGGACGAGTGCACAGCAGGCTCCTGCAGGCTGCTGGCCTGGCCTTCTGAGACAGCCAGCCTGCAGATGGAAGCTTCTGGGCACGTGGTAACCACCGCTGTGGAGAAAGTGTAGGCGCAGCCCTGCGGCAGACAGCAGGGCAGGCTTCCTGCACTCCAGGCCCCGTGCGCAGTGTTGCGGCTTCGGTGTCCCTCCGTTCCTCGGGGAGAGGCGCTCCCTGGACGGCAGGCAGAGAGGCCTGTCTAGTTCATGCTCTCTGTGTGCATCTCCCAGGGACTCAGTGTCCAGAATTACAGGCGCTTCACACACTTAGCCCTTTCTCGACTGTCTGTCCTTGAAACGGTAACTGCATTTCCTTGTGTGTTTGTAGACAGCTGATCTTGCTTCTAGAATTGTACAGCCCCCGGGACGTTTATGACTATTTGCGCCCCATTGCTCTGAATCTGTGTGCAGACAAAGTGTCTTCTGTTCGCTGGATCTCCTACAAGTTGGTATGTATGCACCTTTGCAGTGGCCTCTAGCTCAGTAAGATCCCAGAGCAGAAAGGGGTCCTTACTCCTCCACGCTCTCCTCCTAGGTCAGCGAGATGGTGAAGAAGCTGCACATGGCCACGCCCCCGACGTTCGGGGTGGACCTCATCAATGAGCTGGTAGAGAACTTTGGCAGGTGCCCCAAGTGGTCTGGGCGGCAGGCCTTCGTCTTTGTCTGCCAGGTACGCCGCTTGGGCTGCCTTTTTATTGCCCTCCCTTCTCCTGCACCCTTTGCTTTTCCTTAAGAAGTAGAGCTTGACCACCCGGTCGTCTGACCTCCGATCTGAGCGTCTCCGGCTCTTCCTCTTGAGTTGGTGCTTTCAGTCCTCAGTCAGCTGAGCTGGTTCTGAAGCTGGCGCGGACCAGGCCTCCCGTGCTGCCGTCCGTACGTGGACCACGCCCACACATACCGTACATCCATACACGGACCATGCCTACACATGGTCCATACATACGTCCATACATGGGCCATGCCTACCCATGCTGCTGTCCGTACGTGGACCACGCCTACACATGCTGTCGTCCGTTTGTGGACCATGCCTACACATGCCGTACATCCATACATGGACCATGCCTGCACATGCTGTGCATCCATACATGGACCATGCCTGCACATGCTGTGCATCCATACATGGACCGTGCCTACACATGCTGCTGTCTGTACATGGACCGTGTCGTGTACTCTGCACTGTCCGTGTGCATGAGTTGTCACACATACGCATACAGTGTACCCTGCAGGCACACACACTGTGTCACCCACCAGGGCCGCCTGTCTGGCCTGCAGTGCAGGTGTGCAAGTGGTGGCAGGGGGAGGTGCAGTGGGATTCCTTCGTGTCCTCCTTGTTTGGGGTTCTGGAGTCTCGATGAAAAAGCAGGAGGTAAAATGTGTCCCCTCAGGGTGTGGCAGGCAGGCTGTGTCAGCGCGCATTGCCTCTGTGCAGCCGGGCTGACAGCGTGCCGCTGCTCGCTCTCTGCCGCAGACGGTCATTGAAGACGACTGCCTCCCCATGGACCAGTTTGCTCTGCATCTGATGCCCCACTTGCTGACCTTGGCCAACGACAGGGTTCCCAATGTCAGAGTGCTGCTCGCAAAGACATTAAGACAGACTCTGCTGGAGAAAGGTAAGTGGGGGACCAGCGGGAAGCGCACCGGGCGGGCAAAGGGTGTGAGGTGTTGGTAGCGCCGCTTCTCTTGACGGGCCAGGCAGGCCAGCATTCTGCTGTGCCAAGAGAACCTTCGATCCTGGGCACACACTGATTGTGTCATTTGGAACCTGAAACTAGTAGTTTTAACATTTGGGCATCTACCACAGCCTTGCAGCCTGCCTGCCCCCCCTCTCCATTGCTGGGGTTGAGGCTGGGGAAACAGAGTTGCTTGCCCTCCCCCTCTGCCATCATTGGTAGGCAGGGCGGTTGCCCGGGGCCTACTTCTGGAGATCGCCGGTCCCCACGGGCAGGCCACCCCGTGCCGCGTCAGTGGAGTGGGTGCAGGAATGCAGGAGTGACGAGGGAAAAAGGCTCTGATGAGCTTCCGAGAAAAAGGAGTATCACTGCTTTTTCAAAATCACAGTGAAGAGGAAATGGCTAGGGAAAGTTGGGCTGGTCTTTATAGCTGCGTGTGCGCGCGCACGTTGATGGCGTCTGGAGCTCTTACCCTGTTTACAAGCTAATTAATGGCAAGGAAGTGTAAGTCTCCTTTAATGCTCCTTCGCTGTCATCGAATAGCATGAGATTTAGCTGATCATAGAAGTAATCAGGCTAAACCTCCTACTTCTCGCCGATTACTGTGTGTGACCCGGCGTGGCGTGTGGCGTGCTAGTGTGAAGTCACACTTTCTCGTGACTGAGCACTGTCATGCTTGTGCTCCGCCACCCCCTGACCCCTTCCTCCCCTGTGCGCCCCTGCTTTGCAGACTACTTCCTGGCCTCGGCCGGCTGCCACCAGGAGGCCGTGGAGCAGACGGTCATGGCTCTGCAGATGGATCGCGACAGCGACGTCAAGTATTTTGCTAGCGTCCTCCCAGCCAGTACCAAAATCTCCGAAGATGCCCTGAGCACGGCCTCCTCGACCTACTAGCAAAGCCGGGCCCGTGGTGTCTCTCCTGCCTCCGTGGGCGCTCCCGCACGCGCGACCCGGGCCGGCCTTGGGAAGGAGGCCCCTTCCTCTCTTGCAGACTCAATCGCAGGTACAAGTTGCCTACACCTGATGCCAGGGATGCCAACAGTCAAGAGCAAGTACAGTAAACACTATTATCTTATCTTGACTTTAAGGGAAAATAATTTCTCAGAGGATTATAATTGTCACCGAAGCCTTAAATTCTTCTGTCTTCCTGACTGAATGAAACTTGAATTGGCTGAGCATTTTCCTTGCGGAAGAGATGAGATTCCCAGAGACCTGCACTGCTTTCTCCTGGTTTTCTTTAACCACCGATACATGAAATTCTTACAGCCAGCAGGCGGACGCGAAAGAGACCTTCAGTATTAGCCCTGACCGTCTCCGCCAAGGCAAGGACCTGCCGGGGCGCGGGGCCAGCCGCCCAGCCCTGCCCCGCCCCGCCCCGCCCCGCGTGTGAATAGTTTTTGACGTGTATAAATGGGAAAGGAGATTTGGATTTCTCCCAAGGGCTTGATGCTAACACTAAAGTAGAACCTGATTTTAACTCTCCGTGCAGCACATTGCTGCATGCATTTACGGAACCTTCGCCGAGTATCTGTGTCCTGATGTCTTTCATGCTGGTCATGACCTGAAGGAAATTTATTAGCACGCGTGTTGTATGTCAGGTGTTTTTAACTTGATCATGATCAGCTCTGAGGTGCAGCTTTCTTCACACACTGTACATACCTGTGACCACTCTGGGGAGTGTTGCAGTCCCTAATCATGCTCTTTAAAACCGTTGGGGCACAAGTTCTCTTGTCCAAATAAAATTTATTAATAAGATCTATATAGAGAGATATATACACTTTTGATTGTTTTCTAGATGTCTGCAAATAAATGCAATTTGTGACCGGTGTTAATGGTTTAGTATGAAATGGGGAGGCCAGATTAAAATATGTCTGTTCATGACTTTGGTGGTCTCTAGATCTGCCATGTTGCCTGGCTGGCGGGGTTTCTCCTGGCGGACAGCAGGGGCTCCCTGGGCCCCCTGAGCTGCCTGCAGCCTCCGAGGGTGAGTGAGGCCTCCTGGGGGTTAAAGCAGCTCAGAGCCCCGGTTTCTTCATCAGTGGGATGGGAATCGCTAAGAGCTGCCCTGCTTCCCCCAGGGTCATCTTGCAGCCGGAATGTGCTGTGTCATAGACGGCTCTGATGAGCCCCAGGTCGAAGAGCCCTCGGGCCGAGTCCCCGTGGTGCTTCTCTGGGTTTGGTTTACTCACTCAGCCAGTGGGGGCTCCCCGGCCGGGCCGGAGAGGTTCCCCTGAGCCTTGGTGTGGACTCGGAATGTTCGGCTGCTCTCCGCACACGCTATTACACGTGAGCCTTTGGTTGGTTGCTGTGGCGTCACAACCCAGGAGTCTGCGCTCCGGAACGTGAGTGAACACGTGAACGGAGAGTGACAGGTGCCGCCCAGACGGATGAGTCCCACACGGCGGGCCGGGGCCCTTGGCCTGTCAGTTTGTGGAAGTGGCCTCGGGTTCGCCATGCGGTGGCCCGGGTGCGTTTCTCAGAGGGCAGCTCCGGCCTTACGCAGAGTCGCGTGGTCGCGTTCAGCCGAGCTTTGCAGGTCCGCGCCCTCTGTTACACACTTTGTCTCCCACAGTTCCAGGGCTCTGAGTTACATGAGAATCACTCACTCAGAGCCACAGGGTCTTTGTTTGTTGTTTTGTGGTTTTTAAAGCAGAAGCAGTGACTTCACGTGCACGAGTGTAGAGAATTCGGGAAGTTGGACGCGGCCCTGGCCCAGGCCCTCACCTCCGCGCCGCTCTGGCTGTAGGGACGCTCAGAGGTGCTTTCTGGGTGCCTGGCTGGCTTTCCCCAGCTGCTGGGAACCTGCCTGCCTGTTGGGTGGCTTTGAGGGGCTGCTGGTCTATGACCTTTGTCTCAATGCCATAAATGTCTATGATGCCAGACGGCTGTGGTTTCCCCAGAACCCTCCAACTCTGAATGGCCGCGGAGTTGGAGAATTCCTGCCGGCAGCCCTGCCCGTGTCCTGAGCTGCCCCGGACAGCCTCTTGTCAGCTGGGCCGCCGTCAGCCCTGCAGGTGCAGATCCCCGTGATCCTGGGGGTGCAGCCATCTCCAGGGTGCAGGCTGCTCAGTACACCAGGGAGGGGCTGGGGCAGGGCCCCATCAGACAGCACGGGGCCAGACAGAGCCGCGATGAGGGCAGCAGGGGCCAGGCTGGGACCTGAGCTTCATGGGGCAAGTGTGGCAGCGCTTCTGTGCAAGGTTCCGGGAGACCCAGAAGCGGTTAAGCACCCCATCACCAAGCATACGGCCTCTGTGAAGTTAACCCTCACCCAACCAGAGAAGCAAGCAAGCCTGGTGGAGGTACAGGAGAAACAGCAAGACTGCAGCTCTGTTTTATTCTCATTCCTGCCTTTCATCCTGTAGAGTGCGGGACCTGGAGCAGGACCCCCGGGGAAGGTGCGGAGGGCAGCGGCCTTGGGGAGCCCTGTGAGGGGCTTGGGGTGGGGCCACCCCTTCCAAAGGGCACTTGTGATGGGTTCTGAGTGACCAGGATGGGTGGGAGCCCACGGAGTTCCCGTGTGAGTTTCCCCCAGGAAACTGTGTGCTGACTTCCATTAGCGTGGCGGGGAGACACAACCCTCAAATTACTCTTCTGGAAACTCCAAAGTCAAGGTCATCTGGTGCTGTCTTGAAAATGAACACTTCCACCCAGAGGTTTTGACCTTCAGAACATTTTGACTGTAAACAGAAATTCAGTGTTAATTTTCGTGTAAGGGAGGGAACACCAGGAAGCCAGTATAATTTTTGTCTTGGAGAAATTTCCTTAAGGGTTTCCTAGAAAACAGAAGCTCATTGCTGAAGGTTTTGGTCTGGCTGACCCTCTGCAGCCTTCATTGCTGTGGCTTTACTTCCACCAGGTCTTCTCTTCTTTTAGGTCAACTTTTGCTGATTCAGATTTGGCAAAAATTTAAGTTTTTAGTCCATAATTTCAGCATATGAGTATTTCAACCTGATCAGATTTATTTCACGTTAATGATGCCACCATTGGACACAGGGCAGCTACTGAGTAGTGCTGTTGGATGTCCCACGGGACCATCAGGAGCAGCTTGAGACGCCAGCCTCCCTCCCGGAGACCTGGTGCCCTGACCTAACCTCCTGTGCGAGCAGTCTTCATGCCAGAGATGTAAGCAAGATTTTCACTGCCAAGTGAGAAACTCTGGAATTTTCTCAGCTGGCTACAGACATCCTCCCGAGGAGGAAGTGGTTGGTTCTTTGTCTCACTGTCGCTGGAAGGTTCAGCAGACGCCTCTCGCCCAAGGAGGGAGGCAAGACGGGGTGCATTCAATTCAGATTAGAGCCCTGCTTGTTTCTCCTCCCAACCCCCCATATCTGTCCATTCTGACCACTGGACCCAAAGTGACCCCACAGAGGCCATGTGTGCAGTGACACTGGCGATGGCACCAGCTGCAGTTCACAGTTCTGCCTCCCACCTACAGAAGGGTGGGTAGTCAGGGTCACTGGGTTCATCTAGGAGGCCGTATCTGCACCACAAAGACCACGCGGGCCACGAGCAAGTGTGGGCCCAACACCCAGGCCAGGCGCCTTACCAAGTGCAGGAATTCCCACCTCTCTGGTGGGAAGAGAGAAGTTCAAGAAACCACTTACTGCAGGTTTTGAACGAAGGGGCCACAAGGTAAGGTTTTCCTGGGTACAGCCCCCGGGGCCCTCCAGTCCTGGCAGTTTCTGTGGCCACCAAGTCCTGCTGGGACCTCACAGAGTACAGACAGGATGTTGCCCTGGGCTGAGGCAGGAGCCAAGGGGAAGAATTTGGAACAGAAATTAGAGCCTGCTGCAAGCAAGAGCCCTCGTGTGCTGGCTGAACTAAAACAGCCTGCTCTGAGCCGTGGTCTACCGGCTGCAGGGGCTCAGGATCGGAGCAGCCTGTAAACCCCCTTGTTGCAGGCTGGGGGGCAGGAAGGGGAGGTGGTGCTCGCCGAACTCGGCAGGTGGTGTTCGGGGCTCCTGCGCCTTCCTCTGCCCAGGCTCACTCTGCCTGGGTCTCGTGACCTCACCTCACCAGAAAAGCTTGCTAATTGTACATGGAGGGGACAACACCCACCTCACCTCCGAGCGCATCACCTTACCAAGGCCTGGGTGTGTGATGGGCTCAGGCCCTACCATTTGTGCCACATGTGATAACAATGGGCAGGGCCTCCATCACGTCGGGGCTCAGACTGGAGACACAGAATCAGGACGGTGCCCTTGCAGAAAGCCCAGATGCAGCTCCATCTCCATCAACCTGGCTGACTCTAACGTGTAAGGCCTCGTGTTGACAATGCACGGGAAATGGCTGGCTCAGTGCGTGTTCAGTGTCCCGTGGAACTAGCTGCAGGCACTGGTTTCCTCTGGGAGGCTGGTCCCAGTGCTCACACCAATACCACTGCTTCCAGGTCCAACACTGAATGACATCAGGCCAGGGTGTCCAAAACCTTCCAGAAACAAGAACCTAACCAGTCCATACGTTTACTTAAGTTTAGCGCTCCAGAGAAGCCAGCTGTTTGAGCTTGAAGTGACAGTTTTTGATTGTGGCACTTTCAAGGAACCACAATCACTGTTCCAGACCAACCTGACCCCGCACACTAGCCAAGGAGTGGCTGCTTGGGCTGAGTGCTTGCTGCCCGGGTGAGCCGCACTGCGCCACAACGGGCCAAGCTCTTGCCTCCTGCACCCCAGAAGCTGCTCAGAGAAACCACGGGCCCAGGCCACGGGGCCGGGCTAAGGCAAGTTCACAGAGCAGCAGGCACGTCTTTAAGGGCGAGGCTGAGGCAGCTGCAGGCACAAGCCGTGGTTCGTGGCCGCCACACCTGCCTGGGTGACAGATTAAATGGATGCCTTACTTGTAACCGGGACTCAATGGTGTTAAAGAACCCACACAAAAGCACCGAGACACTGTTTTTTTCCCAAATGGCTGTTGAATTTATTCGCTTGATCAATAATGGTCCTGGCAAAAATGAGTTAACCAACGCTGAGACCTTTTGTCATGAAATGCTAAATTTAAAAATCCATGATACCGTGATAGAAATTAGAGTTTACACAAACAAAAAGGAAACCATCACTATTGCCGGCAAATGTGAGATGAATGTACTGACAGGACAGCTAGAAGGCGCTGATACATTGGTATTTGACACCTGACCATATTTTCAGTCACCATAATATCTTCTCTCCAGATTTAAAAAAATAGTATGCTGATTTCTATAACAAAGCTTTTTTTCTCGTACAAAAATCAAATAATGGCCAACAAGTCACAACAGTGCAATAGGTAGAGGATAAAAAACCGCGTCGAACAGGTGCTGAAAATAAATACTAACTGGGGGGGGGGGGGGGGAGGAGAGCCCTCGGGTGGGGTTTGTCGTCACCACCTTAGTGCGTGTGGGGTTTGTCGGGAGCCCCAAGACCCGACCTGTCTCACGGTGCTACCCCGCAGGGGGAGCCCGGCCCGGGAAGCCGGCTCGTTCCAGGAAGGGGCCATTTCTGGCGCTCCCCCTTGTCAGTGGCGGCCGTGGGCAGCTTCCGGAGACCACACGGTGAGGGACAGCTTTCGTTTGAGCATATACATATATACACACACGCACACCCCAGAGCATATATATATGTATATGGCTTATTCAGGCAGAGGCCGCGCACACTCTCGCCCGAGCAAGCAACCCCAGCCGCTCCGGTTGTCCCGGGAGGTGGGTGGTGGTGGTCAGGGCGCAGGCCTTCGCGGATCGCTGGCAGTGACCGCCGCCTGCGAGCCCAGCGGGCCGTCGGAGGCCGGGGCTCAGGGGCCGAGGGGAGTGGGAGGGCGAGGCGGCTCCCCGTGACTGTGATCTGCACCGAGAAGGTGTGAAAGGCACGAGCAAGAGTGACTCGGTACGGAGGCCCCGCGGGCGGGACGCAGGCGTCCCCAGCAGGCCGCAGGGACCTGGTTTGGTTCCCCCCCTGGAATGAGAAAGAGGTCCTGATTCCGCTGTGATACAAAAGCAAAGAAAGACGATTTTTGGTTTAAAAAGAAGCCACTCAAGGGTTAAAATAGTTACTTTAAGTTAACAAAGAAAATTAATCTTCAAATAAGCTGACACTATCTGGAAAACTCATCCGTCCCTGCAAGCCCACGGGGCGCTGCTCCGTCCTCCGGCCCGGGCGGGCCGCCGCGGAGGAGCCGCCGGGAGCTGGAGCCGGAGCCGCCGCCCTGGCGGCAGGAGGAGCCGTCTTTACAGAATGTACAGTAAAGACGCAGAGGCCGAGGGCTCCGCGGGCGCCGCCAGCGGCTCAGATGGGCGTCTCCTTCCGGTCCTTGCTCGGCGACGGCTTCGCAGGCTCCTTGCCGGCCTTGGGCTGCTCGGGGCCGCCGTCCGCGCCGCGCCGCTCCCGCTCCCGCTCCGCCTCCTCGTCCTCCGGCGCCTGCGGCTCGCCCTTGGCTCGCTGCATCTGCAGCAGGCGCAGCTGCACGCGCAGCTCGATGATGGCCTCGCGCTCCTCGTGGATCGCCTGGTTCAAGTGATTGTTCTTGATCTTGAGGAACGACAAGAGGGCAGTTACCACGCACGGAAGCAGCTCAGAAGGACGGCGGCCCAGGCGCAGAGAGCAGTCGGCCAGGGCCTCCTACAAGGAGTCTAGCTTTGTTTTAGCCAACTTAGTCGTGAGGCAACAGACTGGGGCAGGAGCGGGACTATGCAGATGGGCACAGACGCACCTGGACTCAGAATGGGAAGGAACATGGACTGGGCTCCCAGTGACAGCAGAGGCAACACCGGGAAACATCAAAGCAGCAACAGGAAACACCGACTTCACTAAGTAGTGTCACTCACTTCGGTTTCTGAACTGCCCTTCCTTAACTAAGGAGAAACTACAAGTGGGCCTCGCAGCAATTAGGGGCATCAGGGAAAAAAAACCTAGATGTGCCTCAAAAGTCTGTCTTTTGTGAATGGCACCACTGTAAGTCTGGAATTGCTAGTCAAACTGCAGAAAACTGCCTCCAATTCCAAGTCTGCATTCATTCGGCCAGGGGTCCGCAGGGCAGGACGGTCTCGGCCCCGTCAGCGGCCACTGCCCGGCCGCCCTGGCGCCTTTGCGGTCAGGGTGTGAGTGCAAGCGCTGGGTCCCCTTGGTGGCCCTGCCCCGGGACGATGGAGCGGGCTTGGATTCCTCTCCCCCCTCCAGCTACGGACGCCAAGTGGAAGAAGCCGGTGTGGAGGTGCCAGGCCTGCACCGTGCACCAGCCGAGCGAGAACACCGTCCTGCTTACGCCACGGCATGACTCCCACAGGTGCTCTGCCTGCACTACACATACTGATTCTGCATTATGCTTTCTTGTTTAGCATTACAGAATGATCTGTAAAGCGGCGAGAATGCACGGCCTGTCTAGAGAACAGAGACCCCGGGGCTCAGCCCCCACCCTCCTGCCCTGCCACAGGCCTGCAGCGGCTGGGTCTCCAGCAGGAGCCTAGGAGGCCGCCTCGCTGACCTCCACCCCCGGCCCCACGGGCAGCAGCTGTGGGCAGTGGGTGGGATGGGGCGCTGGTCTCCCCCGGCAGCTGAACACATGGGAACGAGAGAAGCCAACTGGCCCCTGCTCTCAGGCCCCGTTCTACAAAGGGGATGTCCTCTCCTGGCCCTCAGGCGAAGCGCCAGCCGAGGTTCTATCCGGGTGAGTCAGGGAGTTTCAGCCGCTGCAGCCCCTCCCCCACGCAGCTGTCTCCAGGCGCGCTCTCCCTCACGGCCGTAGGGGGACCCTCACTCTGCCCATGGAGACTCGGGACACCGGCCCTTCTCCCACTAGCATTTCTTTCCTGTTCACCTGTGAGAACAGAAACCAGACCGTCCCAAGTTGCCTGCAGTGGGCAGGGAAGGCTGCGTGTGGTGTGAGAGTCAGGAGCAGGTGCACCCCTCCCCCGCCCCGGCCTGAGAGGGCCTCGGCAGGTGCCCCCACTGTCCTCCCCTCGCCCTCCCGGCGGTCTGCCAGCCCAGGACCTGGGGCCGTTCCCCCCAGGACTCACTTCCAGCTCCTCGTTCTGCCTCTGCAAGTCCTCCAGGATGATCTGCAGCTCCTCCTCGTCCTCACTCTCGCTCTCGCTGTCCGAGGAGTACTCTTCGGTCTCGCTGCGGCCATGCTGCTGCCGGCTGAGGGCGAGAGGGGAACGCAGCTTCAGGGGTGCGCCTGCACGGCCCTGCCTTCAGGGTCACCACCGGCTCCTGATCCGCCTAACGCAGCCGCCCCAACTTTGAAACTTACTTGAAAGGCAGAGACAGGTCTCCCATCCACCTGCCAGGGCTGGGCCAGGCTGAAGCCAGCAGCCAAGAATCCCATTTGGGTCTCCCGCGGGGAGGGGCAGGGGCCCACGCACCTGAACCGTCACCGCTGCCCCCAGGGTGTGCACCGGCAGGCACACCCTGGTGTGGGCAGGGGCACTGAGACTCGAGCCCCAGGACTCCAACACGGGACGCGGCATCTAACCACCGCCCCACACCACTGTTAAGGCGTGATGAGTAAGAAACTGAAAGATGAGTATGCTCCGATGCCTGATTCCAAGCAGGAGCTGAGGACTGAAGCAATGATGCTCACGTTTAAAAAAACAAAACAAACGTCCTCGCCAGCTCCCCCCCGTCCCGCCCCCCGCCCCGTACCTCTGAATCTCGGCGATCTCGGCACGCAGCCGCTCGATCTCTTCCTTCTCCGAGGCGATCTGCCGCCGCAGGAACTGCTCCATGGCCAGCAGCTCCTCCTGCTCCGTCAGGATCTCGTTCTCCTGGAATAACGAGCAGCGCTGACCACCCCCGGACGGCGCTCCGGGAGGCTCGCTCCCGGGGCCTCCTGCTTGCCCTGCACGGCGCTGACACATCGGCACTGCCCAACTGAAAACGTCCTACTTCCTCAGGGTCAAGAAAGGGCTTCTTTAAGAAAAGGTAGGCAAAGACACTGGGAGAATGACCGGGTTTTCTCGCAGTACACAGATGCCCAATCAGATGGCACACAGCAGCCCCGTGACCTGGCGAGGCTCCAGGGGACAAAGGTGGAGCTCGAGGCACAGGAAGTGCTTTGTGGAGAAGGCAGGTCTGTCTGGGTTGCCAGTGGCTTCGACGGTGTCGCCAGGAAAAGAAGGATCCAGGAGTCGCGTGCGGCTGCCTGCCAGTGTCAGCACTAAGGAGATCAGAGTGAAGGCAGGGAGGTGGCCGAGATGTGTCCTCGCCACACGCACCAGCCTCCCCAGCCAACACCGAACTGCAACAGAACACGCCCTTCTCAGATGCACGGGGCCACAGGTCTGAGGAAAACGACTGCTAAAACCCCCACTGCCCAAGCCCGAGGGGCCTCCCACCCAGAGAACAGCACACGCAGGCCACACAGCCCGGGAGCACGGGCCCGTGCGGGAAGGTCCTGTGGTCCGTCTGCAAAGACACCACGGCTGTGTGCCACAACTCTGGTGGCCAGCAAGCACTGCAAAGCCCTCCCTCTCAGAGGGAACCAGGGGCATTTCCCAGGTGTCTCCTCTACCCCTCGGCATGCCCATGATGCAACTGGTCAGACTAGGCAGTGGGGGACAGGGCCACACACACACCCCTACTATGTGGTCGGGGCTTGAACCGCACTCCTTCCTGGTTAAACTCCAGGGACTCTAGACCAGGGGAAGGGAAGGCTAACTTGAGACGGTCAGGTAGAAAGCCAGCAGCACACCCTTGTCACTGCCTGGAATATCACGGCCCTCCGAAAGGTTCGTGGGAAGCAGGATTAAAAGACACTTTATTGGGGCCGGCGCTGTGGTGTAGTGGGTAAAGCTGCCACCTGCAGTGCCGGCATCCCATATGGGCACTGGTTCAAGACACGGCTGCTCCACTTCCAATCCAGCTCTCTGCTTTGGCCTGGGAAGGCAGAAGAAGATGGCCCAAGTGCTTGGGCCCCTGCACCCACATGGGAGACCCAAAAGAAGCTCCTGGCTCCTGGCTTCGAATCAGCACAGCTCCAGCCTTTGTAGTCATCTGGAGAGTGAACCAGCAGATGGAAGACCTCTCTCTCTCTCTCTCTCTGCCTCTCTTTCTCTCTGTGTAACTCTTTCAAATAAAATAAATAAATCTTTAAAACAAAAAAAAGAAAAAAGACAATTTTGGTGCCAAAACAAATTTAAATCCATGCATTTTTTCCAAAATATCATTTCCACAAACTTTATGAAGACCCTCTCACATGGCAGATATTCAAGAGATATTTAAGGGATAAGAAGACAACTGATTTTCATTTGCAATGAAAATATGAGTATTATTAAGAAAACTCGTAACTCAGACCTGGATGTAGATTAAAAGAGATTAAAGAGGCCAGCGCCGTGGCTCACTAGGCTAATCCTCTGCCTTGAGGCACCGGCACACTGGGTTCTAGTCCCAGTCAGGGCGCCGGATTCTGTCCCGGTTGCCCCTCTTCCAGGCCAGCTCTCTGCTGTGGCCAGGGAGTGCAGTGGAGGATGGCCCAAGTGCTTGGGCCCTGCACCCCATGGGAGACCAGGAAAAGCACCTGGCTCCTGCCTTCGGATCAGCGCGGGGCGCCGGCCGCAGCGCGCCAGCCGCGGCAGCCATTGGAGGGTGAACCAACAGCAAAGGAAGACCTTTCTCTCTGTCTCTCTCTCTCACTGTCCACTCTGCCTGTCAAAAAATAAAAATAAAAATAAAGAGATTAAAGAACTTAAAACAATGCCTGGTACAAAACAGTACTAGGCAGTTTCTTTCTCTATAGTTGAACGTTTTAGCAAACACAACATAAAGGAAGGACTAAATACAACAGGCCTAGTTTCTCTAAATTATTTTACAATTTTGGCTAAAAGTAGCTGAGGTTCTCAAATTATAATTTTTTAAATGTATTTATTTATTCTATCTGAATAGCAGAAAGAGACAGAGATCTCCCATCCACTGGTTCACTCTCCAAATGCCGGGGAGCAGGAACTCAATCCAGGTCTCCTGCGTGTGAGGCTCCATCCATCCCTGCCGCCCCCCAGGTCCACAGCAGTAAGAAGCTGGACTCTGCGCAGAGCCAGGACCCAAACCCAGGTGCGCTGATATGGCACGCAGGTGTCCCAAGCAGTACCTTAACTACTACATCAAATGCCGGCGCCCTCAAATTGTATTTTTTTAATTATTCATTTATTTTTATTCATATGAAAGGCAGAACAAGAAAGACAGAGACAAAGAGAAACATCTTCTATCCACTAGCTTTCTCCCCCGATGCTTGCAACAGCCAGGGCTGGGCCAGCTGAAGCCAGAATCCAAGAACTCCATCAGGGTCTCTCTTGTGGGGAGCAGGGAGCCAGCAGCCATCACTTGCTGCCTCTCAGGTGCACCAGCAGGAAGCTGGATCAGAAGCAGGGTCAGAGGTGGGACTTGATCCCAGGTACTCTGATATGGGATACAGACACTCAAGTGGCAGCCCAACGTGTTCCACCAAAACACCCACTCCAAATTCTAATTTTAAATGGCCATTAAGACTTGGCAAATAACAGAAAAACAGTTCAGTTTACCTGGGCAAGGAGAATATTTATAACTTCTTCGTTTTCATTCATTTCTTCTTTGGAAACATCCTCTTTTGAAAGGCTGGCTATCTCTTGTGCAATCTTGGTTTCACACTCCTGTCCAGTAAGAGAAACGGAAAAGGAACTAGTTAGTATGTAGGTAAGACATATTCAACAGATGCACATTAACACCCAGCCAGGCTCTTCCTCCTCCTTCCACCTCAATGAATGGATATTTTTCAACTGGGCTGGGAACTTAATACGGGGTCATTAGTTCATGGTTGCATTGTGGCGCATGTTCAATTCTGGCTAATGTGCCTATCTTCCACACAAATTGCCTTCTGCCATACTCTGCAGGGTGGAGGTGCCAGGGGTAGCAATGTTCAATGTACAATTCAGTTCTGATAAATATACACAGTTGAGGAATCACCACCACCATCTGCTATAGAACTTTCCTATCACCCATGAGCCCCTGGGGCTCCTCCTCCAGCTGCTGGCTCCTAGCAACCACTGACCTGCTTTGCACTACTTACAGGGTCTCCTTTCCTTGAGTTTCACAGAAATGGATCAACCACTAAATAGGCTTTTTCATCTGTCTTCTTTTGCCGAACACAATGCTTTTCTGAGCCATCTATTTTGTTGGCTATATCAGTAATTACCTGGTAATATCCCAATTTGTTTACACACTGACCAGCTCAAACAGGCCATCTGGGTTCTTTCTAGTTTTTAGCTGTTAGAACTGCTAAGAGCATTTCACAAGGGCTTTGTGAGGGTGTAGGCTATTTTCTCTTGAATAAATACCTTGGAGTAGAATTGCTGGGTCACACAGTAACTCATGTATGTTTACCTTTACAACAAACTGCCAAACTGGCTTCCAGAGTGGCCATACCATTTCGCATTACCAGGACTGACATAGGAGAGCTCCCGTTACCTCATATTCTTACTCACACTTGGTACTTTCAGTTTTAGCCACTCTAGTTATTGTACAGTGTCCTCTCATGGTGCTTTTAAGTTGTGTTTTCTTAAAGACTAACGATGTTGAGCATCTTTGCATGTGCTTATCTGCCATGTGTGTATCATCCTTGCTCAGTTCCCCATCAGCTCCCGTGCCTGTTCAACAGAGAACCCATACCAACCCCAGACGACATGGTTCTGGAGGCTGAATTCGTGGGGGTGCATGGAGGTTCTTAGCGGTGCCAGGAGGGGGCGTGGAAGCTCTGGGCCCTTTCTCCCATTCTGTGTCCCACTCATCTCTTCATCTGTCCGCTCTGTGGCATCCTTAATAACAAACTGCGCAGCGTGCTTCCCTGAGTTCTGTGAGCCACCTGAGCAAATTCATCAAAGCTGGGGAGGAGCTTGCAGCTGGCATCTGAAGGGGGCGGCCGTGGGGTCGCAGCCCTCAGCCTTGGGTGTGGCTGTCTCCAGATCAGCAGAGCCAGACTGCACTGAATCAGAGGACGCCAGCTGGTGCTTGGAGGAAAAGCCCCCAGCTTCTGAGATCACAGAGGTCTTCTGTGTTGGCTGTGGTCTGACAGCAAAGGGAGACAGCCCCCTCTGACAAGACATCCTCCACACAGGTACAAATCTCTATCCTCAGAACAACCCAAGTACTCGGCCGCCTTTGACTATTAGCCCAAACGCAACAGCAACCACTCCCATGCTCAGTAAATCTGCTGCCCACAGACCCTGCACCAATTCACAGGATGTTGCTGCTGAATCTGTACATGGGTGGTAAGACAGTGCAGAGACTGAGATTTGAGCTGTGGGGTTACTGGTACATTCACAGTTCTGGGACCAAGCAACCCATACTAGAGGGAGATGAGGGGCCCGTGTGTACTGCCATTGCGCCAGGAGCTAAGTGAACAGAAGCCCTCCCGGCAATCCTCTCCGCTGCCCTGCCGTCCATCTCGGACGATGCCTGACCATCCGGCCTTCTCAGCGTTGGAAAGCTTGTTCAGAGGTACAAGCAAGGAGGAAACGACAACACACCTTCTAGTAAAACCCCCTTCTTCATGAAGATCTTTCTCCACAAAATGAAACATCCGACACCGTTCTGAAGGAGTCATCCAGAACTAGCAACGCCTGAGTAAATTTCCCACTAGGGAGCGTCAGGAACCATGCTTACGTTGTATTTTAAAACAAATGGCACAGTTCTTTAATATTTTACTATAAGCACAAAGTACTAAAATATAACTCACTTGTCTTTTAGCTTCTCTCAGTTTTCTTTTGAGGGCTGTCAGAATTCTTTGTACTTCCCATAATCTCTCTTCTTTAGACAAATCCTTTATCCCACCCTGCAGATCTCGATGTAAACAATTCAAAAGAAACTCCTAGAAAACAATAACACACAATGAGCAGTATCCAATGTCTTACTTTAAAAAATCGTGATTTCTAAAGATGTAGATTCAACTATTTTCACTTATTGTTAAAGGACGGAAATAATGGCACTAATGATCTTCTCAAGGATATAACTGAAAAAATCATTCTTACTTGTTTTGCCTGAGAATTAGGTTCTCAGTCATTAATGTACATTGATTCAGTAGGAGCTAATTCACACCCTCACTCCTACATCATCAACTAGTAAGGAATGGAAGTTCAGGGCAGATAAGGGAAGAGAGGCAAGCAGAGATTTGATGATATGCATGCAAGTAAATAAAAACACATTTCTTATTTAGTCTTGAATTTCTTATTCAATTTCTCTCTCTCTCTCTCTCTCTCTCTCACACACACACACACACACACACACACAGCATGGCATTTTTTTCCTGTGTTTTTTAAAGATTATTTATTTAGGGGTCAGCACTGTAGCACAGTAGGCTAAGCCTCTGCCTGTGGTGCCAGCATCCCATATGGGTTCTGGGTTCGTGTCCTGGCTGCTCCTCTTCCAATTCAGCTTCCTGCTATGGCCTGGGAAAGCAGTAGAAGATGGCCCAAGTGCTTGGGCCCTTGCACCCATGTGGGAGACTGCGAAGAAGCTCCGGCTCCTGCCTTTGGATCTGCCCAGCTCCAGCCTTTGTGGCCATTTATTTAGGGAGCAAACCAGGGGATGCAGGACTTTTCTCTCTGTTTCTCCCTCTCTCTGTCTGTTAACACTATCACTCAAAAAAAAATAAATAATAACTTAAAAAAAATTTTTTTTAAAATTACCTATTTGAAAGGCAGAGTGACAAGAGAGAGGGGGAGAGACAGAGAACTTCCATACACTGGTTTACTCCTCAAATGCCCACAACAGCCATGGCAGGGTAGTGTCAAAAGCAAGGAGCCAGGAACTCCATCTGAGCCTCCTATGTGGGTAGCAGGAATCCAAGTACTTGGGTCATCATTGACTGCCTCCCAGGTGCACTAGTAGGAAGCTGGGTTGGAAGTGGAGGTAGGACCGGATCCCAGGCACTCTGACAGAGAATACCCAAGCGGTGCCTGTCTCACAGCACAGTTTCTTACAGCTAAGTCACAAGTGGAAAAGTCTAAGATTTAGACTCAAGTCTTGGTTCTACAGCTTAGTAATCATGTGCTAAAGTTTTCTCACCTCCCCTGACTTTCCGTATTCTTATCTTTAAGACATGACTAAATGAGAGCAACCTCGTCCAGATAAGCAAACACTTTGGTGCTGTGTACTAGTGTGCTGAGCCCTTTTCATGCATTATCTCATATTCAATATGCTTCACATCAGTCAAGTGAGAACACCAAGACCATAAGAGACGAAGCAAGTTAGCTAACTAGGAGCAGAGCAGGAATTTAAAGCCCAGCCTTTTGTATCCAAAACCTGTGCTCTTTCCACCATGATATCCTGACTTATTTGACATGAAACAGTGCAAGATAGAAATTTCTGACTTCAGTGTGCCATGAAGACATGCCTGATAATAAGTAAATAGATGAACAAACAAGAGCTGACCCTCCCCCTCAGCAGCCGGCATAAAGGCAGGCTGGAGGGCAAGGGGCGAGGCAAGGGTGCAAACCTGTCTCCTGATCTCCTCTTTGATGCCCGCCTGGGTCTCCGGCAGTGTGGGCATCGTGGCCATGTTAGACCACCGCAGAGGTTTCGTCACTTGCTTCAGCACCACATTTCCAAAGAGCTCTTGCACATGTGTGAAAAGCACATACAGGACACGATTGCTGATCTAGGAGGAAAACAAAAAGACTTGTAGAAAAACAATTAAAATTGTCATTTTACTTCCATTTGTGTCTGTCACACAGTGAATGACAATTATCTTCAAGATGGGCTGTTGTGGTGCAGTGGGTTAGGCACCACTTGGGATGCCCACATCCCATGGCAGAACACATGGGATCAAGTCCTACCTCCCTTTCTGATCCAATTTCCTACTGATGCACCTGGGAAGCAGCAGATGATGGCCCAAATATTTGGTTTCTGCAACCGCGTGGGAGACTGGGATGGCTCCTGGTTTGGGCCTGGCTCAGCTCTGGCTGTCTGCAGGCATTCAGGGAGTGAACCAGCAGATGAAAACACACTCACTCTCTGTCTCCCTACCACTGTCACTGTCACTCTTTCAAATAAAAAGAAAAACAAAAAAGAAGAAGTCCTCCTCAGGAGTGACAAGGAAGGCTTCGCTAATTAATGGCCAATTCAAGGAGAAAAAGGCAAAATCCATGTTAAATCATGTACTCAAGCACCAAAGGAATTGAAGGAATTTTTAAAAAGCCAAGAAAATGAAGCAGACACTGAAAGCTATTTGTTGTTTTCTATCACTACAATATTAACTGATTTTTTTAAAGAACCTTATGTTTTTAGTTTTCAGTTTGAGACCTTTCTAAAAAAAAAATTTTTTTTTTTTTTAGCGGCAAAAGAGAGACAGATAGAGTGCTCTTCTCTGCTGGTTCCCTCCACAAATGCCCACAATGGCCCAGCCAGGGCTGAGACCAGAGGCTGAGAACTCAACTGAGGTCTCCCATGTGGGTTTCAGGTACTCAAGTACTGCTGCTTCCCAGAGATGCACTAGCAGGAAGCTGCAAAAGGGAACAGAGCTGGCACTATAATGTGAGATTAGGGTGTCCCAAACAGCAGCGTAACCACTAGGCCGAACACCCACCCCTATTTTGAGTTCTTTTGATAATCACGAGTGCATCTACTGAGGTGGAGGAGGAAAGTGAGAGCATTGCAGGTGCACAGCTGTTGAGGCTGAGCCCTCCCTCCAGACAGGAAGGCCTCCTGGGCACACCACAGCAGCAACCTAACATGATGATCACATGCTAGACCAGGACAGGAGACTGCTGGAAAATTAATATAATTTACAACAGTTTGACCCTTCTATGACACTGTCATAATATTATAGTAATATTATGTAACAATGTGACATTTAACAGATCCTAAAACCCTAACACAAATGATCAAATTGAAATTTGAGGAACATTTGGTATCCAAAATACACCAATCAGTAAAAAAACCACACTTGTACAACAGTGAGTTGGGCACCAAGGAGTCCAACATTCACTTATTTGATCAAGAAGTTAATGAGGATTTCATTTGCAATGGCAGATCCTGAGAAAATGTGCTATGGTCAAAAGTGGATTAAGACAAAGCCTACGACCCGGGTCTTTTTCTCGGCCTGGGTAAAGTATCAGCAAGTCTAATCAAAGGAAAATACACACCGTATGCCAGCAGCAACAGAGCTGCACTAAAGGACGGTCAGGTGCTTACGTTGTAAAAGGACAGTTTCCCAGAGGGCACTTCCTCAGGTGAAGAGCCTATCCTATGTCTCTGTAGACTCCTCTTTCAGAAATGAAACCCTCGGCTCAAATCCTTGACGAAACAAATTAGTGACAGGCCCCTCTGTGCCTGAGTTTGACCCATGTTTGTATTCATGAAGCAGTAATGCTCTGATGAAATGACGGAACCCTCTGAATTATGTAAATGAGCTCTGTAACTGCAGGAACCACTGGCTCCCCCTCCACCGTGACCAGTCACTGGGAACTGGGTGCTAACCCCCTGGGAAGAACGGCACGGTCCTCATCTCATAGAGGGGCTCATGACCTTCCCTGTCCACACCACTGATGGCGTGAAGAAAAAAAAGAGCTGTAATCAAGCTACACCATATGTACCCGCTCTGGCTGCCAGGTTCTCATGGCGACTCAGCAACAGCAAATGTCTCCACCTCCCCAGGCCCAGCGGGGGCAGTGGAGAGAGGAACTCGTACCTGGACAGTTGGGCTGAGCACTATGGAGATGTTCTGTATGTTCATCTTGGTCTCCAGCTCCTTGGCAATGACATGGTCCATGTGCACGATGAGCCAGGAAATCAGAAGGTGGTTACACTCCGGCAGCTCCTTGAGCAGGCGCTGGAACTCCTGCACTTTCTCACCCTCACTGGTCCTCCCACAGGCCTCTTCAAATCGGGGCATTAGCTCTTTGGTAAGCAGATTCTCTGGAAGGTCTCGTAAATACTGCTTCAGCAAACTGGCGACAGTATTGGGCTCATATTCTTCCAAGTTTGGAGACTCCTCTCGGTCGTAGGCTGCTTTTAGCTCATCTACCTTTGATTTAATTCCTTGAAACATTCAAATAATTGAGGAGAGAGAATACCAAGAAAAGCAAATCAAATACACAGCTTTCTCAGCCACTACACCCACCCCAGCTGGAAAGATCTGAGCACCTGCCTGACCAATAACAAACCTCTCACTGTGAATTTTTTATCTGCATGAGGCTCAGACAATTCCTCTGCAAATATAGCCCTGTAAAAGACCACACTTTGAGGGTAAATTTAACCAAAAGCCACATGATAGCCGAAAAAATATTCACAGCAATCACAGACATATTTTAAGCAAATATATCAAAGGATTCAGGAAGGAAAAAAAATCTTAACTTAAAAGGTAGTTAGGTAAAAAATTAGGGAAAAATTAAACTACAATCTAGGCACAAGTCTTGCGCTATTTAGGCAGACAACTGTTTTTTCTAACTAGCCACATGACTGACAACACAAGATGAAACTCAGTGCACATGAAAACATTCCCAAATTTGTGGGTAAATTTTTTTATACGTAAAAATTATACTGTAAATGTGAAAGGTGAGTTAGCTGCCTAAACAAACTCAGAATTATCCAATAATCTCCATCTAATTTTTACTTTAAATTTAGAATTCTTTCAGTGTTAATCTGAACAGAACTGGAACAAAAAAAGTTTTAAGTTTGTGTTTCAAAAAAAATTAGATGAAGTTTTGGTTTCCAAAGTCAAATTGTTTTACTTTTCTCGTTGGACAGTAAGAAACTCTTAACACAAAGTGAATACTTTTCAAACATTATGTCTTTGGGGCCAGCACTGTGGCCGCCATCCGCAGTGCCAGCATTCCATATGGACAATGGTTCAAATCCCAGCTGCTCCATTTCTGATCCAGCTCTCTGGTATGGCCTGGGAAGGCAGTAATGGCCCAAATCCTTGGGCTCCTGCACCTGTGTGGGAGACTCGGAAGAAGCTCCTGGCTCCCAACAGGCACAGCTCCGGCCATTGCAGCCATCTGGGGAGTGAACCACCAGATGGAAGACAAGACCTCCCCCTCCCCCTCTACTTCTGCCTCTCAAAAAAATAAATAATTCTTTAAAAAAAAAAAAAAAAAGACTATAGTCTTCATTATAATTTACTGGCAGTGACTGCTCAAATGAGTACTAAGTAACTTTTTCTGATTTTTAATACTTTAGACCAGTTATTTGGGACTAGCCTGAAATTAAGGCTGAGAGTTTCTAACAGTGAACATCACCTTAAATAAAATACTTACATTTGGGTTTTGGCATTTCTTATCCTACATGAAAATCTCTTAATGGTATTACAATAAATCTGTTACTTGCACACACTGACAAACATAAAAGCAATAGCAATATGAATCTTATTGTTGCATAATCTTTGAGAAAGTTAGAAAATAACCCTGTTTTCTTACATTTATGGCAATGTAGTAAAATGTGATGAACAATTCTTGATGAAAATTCCCTCTCTCATATAGGCGAGATCTTCCAAAAGATCATGAAAAACTTGCACCATCCTTAAACTTCATTTCCACAAACTTTTTGTAGTACCCTCCCCGTGAATACACTTTGTTGATATTTACCTTTCCCCCCTACAACACCTACCCAGCAAATTGCACAAGTGTGTGTATTTGGTTTCTTGTTACTCTGAAATTATCAAAATGTTTGCATTCTACAAACTGGACACTCCAAAGAGAGTGAGTGAGTTTAAAGACATATCTTAATGTAAAAGATATAATTAAACGTGGACACGGAAAATATATAAAACCAGTGAAACTGTCTCTCATATTAGTTTTAAAATCTGAATTAAGAGGCAAGCATTTGAGGCGGCATACCCTACTAGAGTACCTGGGTTTGAGTCCCAGCTTTGCTTCTGATTCCAGCTTCCTGCTAACGCACACCCTGGAGGCAATGGTGATGGCTTAAGTAGCTGGGTCCCTGCCACCCACATGGGAAAACCCAAACTGAGTCAAGGGTACACAGCCTCTGCCTAGCCCAGCTCCAGCTGTTGTAGGCATTTGGTAAGTGAACCAGCAAATCAAAAATCTCTGACTCTTGCTCTCTGCTTCTCTGCCTTTCAAATAAAATGAAAATAAAATTGGAGCTAATGTATAAATAAGTGAAAAACCAAATATCTCTAGCAAAATGACCATTATTTTTTTTTAAATATTTTATTTATTTGAAAGACAGAGAGAGGTAGAGCCAGAGCGAGAGTGATCTCTTCCATCTACTGGTTCACTCCCCAAATGACTGCAACGGTCAGAGCTGAGCTGATCTGAAGCCAGGAGCCAAGAGCTTCTTCCGGGTCTCCCACTTGGTTGCAGGGGCCCAAGGAGTTGGGCCATCTTCTACTGCTTCTCTAGGCCATAGCAGAGCGCTGGATTGGAGTGGAGCAGCCAGTACTTGAATCGGTACCCATATGGGATGTTGGTGCTGCAGGCTGGGGCTTTAACCCATTGCATTACAGCACCAGCCCCGATTATTCTAACATTCAAAAAGAAAAGTGAGGACCCTAGCAGTAGCGCACCTCCTCGGTTTCAAGAAGAAATACAAAACCCACTGTGGCAAGAGCTCAGTCCCCAGGGGTTGACAGCAATAGCTGTTTGAATGCTTTTAGACCAGAGAAGGATTCTGCAGCTCTGAATCGCCATAAAAGTGTAAATATCAAAAACAGGTCCAAGGGGAAAGAATTCTTTGAACAAAGCTGGAGAAACTTTCACCAAAACAAAATACCTTTATGTTTATCAAGATCATATGAAGGGAAGCAGCACATGTTATTGTTAAACCTTTAAAAATCAACACAACATAAATCAAATTATCAAATTCATTTAAATGTTAATTTCATGTAATGCTAGGGAGATATAAATTCAAAATCAGGGGTAGGCTTTTGGTTTAACAGTTAAGATGTCACTGAAGACTCCTTTGTATCACATCGGAGTACCTAGGTTCAATTCTCACCTCTGATCCTGACCCCAGTTTCCTGCTAATACAAACTCTGGCAGCAGTGATGGCTCAAGTAATTGGGTCCCTGCCACCTATGTGGAAGACCTGGATTCCATCTCTGGCTCCTGGCTCCAACCCTGCCCTAGCCTTGGCCACTGTAGACATTTATCTGGGGAGTGAACCAGCAGATAGGAGTTCTTTGTCTCTCTCTCTCTCTGTCTCTCAAACAATAATTTTTAAAAACTTATTAAAAATTCAATTCAATGTCTATTTCATTTTATCTTCTATAAAATGACAGCCTTTTAACCAAAATAGCGTAGCATGTTATCTACAGGTTGTATAAGTTTTCCTAATTAACAAAAATGCCTATCCTGGCAGGAGGGAGGGTAGGATAAGAAATATCACTGTGTTCCTAAAGCTGTACATATGAAATACAGGAAACTATACCTTAAATAAAATTTTTAAAAAAAAGTTTACCCTCTCTCAACAAAACTCAAGCATAAGATTACCTTCCCAAGTAAATGGGAAAACGAAGCCTAATCTCTCTCTCTCTCTCTCTTTCTATGTATATACACTCCAAAGGTGTGCTGACTGAACTCATCATGAACATCTGTGTGACCAACAACTGATTTTATAAATCTCCAAGCGAAGTTGATGTTGTACCAAGAAATCAAATGATGGGAATGTAATGACTGGGGACACAACACTGCCATGGGTCAGGACTTTCCTCCTGTACCAGTACAAAAGCCGTCCTGTTTTCTAAGGAATAAACATTTTTACTTTTAAAAATTATGCATCGTGCTTAATTTTAGATACCCAATCTGAAACACATTCTTGCCAAGCATGAAATTTAAATTTTCATATACATGAGACGCAGATCAATGGAAAATCGATTTCACTACCATATGCAACAGCCTCCCAAGGCTACCAGAGGCACACGTCCTGGGGCCTACCCGCTCAGAAAACAGCCCTGCATGCCTCTCAGTGGAGCTCAGGACGTGAACCTTGTTACTATCATTGACTATCGAGTCTCCTTCCCACAGATCTCCCTGCCTTCCTCCCTGCTGAACGCGTCCACAGTGCCGCCAAGCCTCCGCCTAACGAATGAAGCGGTAAGGAGAAAGGCAGCACTGAGCACAGCCCTGTTAAGTGGCACTGCTCACATGCTTCACTTTGGCCATAAGCCACTCAGGTGTCAATCTCCCTGCTGGAAGGAAGCATCATTAAAAAACCAGATCACCAAATCGCCAAAACAGTAGTGAGAGGAGTACTTCTGTGCAAATGGAAGGATCCAGAAAATAAATAGGGCTTATGACCCAAGCCAGTTTTCCCCACAAGTGATATCTTTCCTGCCTTTGGAAAATGCAAATGAAGTTAATTTGTAAAAGCCACCAAGCAACGTGCATGGCCCCAATACCTGAAACTCTGTAGATGCCCTCACACTTCATGCCGTACTTCTCTACATAATCTACACACTCCCGGAACACGGCTGGCAGCCGGACGCCGTCATACATCATGGTCCTCTCCACGGCGTCAGCCAAGGGAATTCCGAAAATGGGCTTGAGACTCGGAACGTCAACCTGAGGCACCTCTGGCTCCTGAATGGGCTTTTTCTTTTTTTTCTTTTCCTTCCACTGTTTAACGACATCAGCAGCTGTCAAGTCTTTTGACTTTTTCTCTTTATGTTTTTCTTCTTTGTGCTTTTCTTCTTTGGGTTTCTCTTTTATTTTAAAATCCTTCTCCTTCTTTTTAGAAAAGCTGGGCTTCTTGAAAACATGGATTCCCTTGGACCTCTTCATCTTGGAAGGACTCTCGGCTTCATCTCCAGAGCTATCTTCCTGAAAGGCAGCATAGCCTTCAGCTGCCAAAGAAACGTGGAGCGCACAAATTACACGTCTGTTTAACGGTAGACTGCTCGTGTGCTTTCTAAATCAGAACCAAAACAGGTGCCACCTGGCTCTAGCTGCACAGCTTGGCAAATCACCCACCAGTCCCCTACAGGCCCGCCCAGCAATGAAATGGGTTTCTTCTCAGCTGAAAAAGAGGCGTTGCGGTGACATCGCCTGACCACAAGAGGACGACAAACAGACCGCAGTTATCCTTACTGCTTTCATCTGTGAGCTAAGTGATTCAATTCACATTAGCACAACAAATATAAACACTGGTCCCAGAGGACCAGTGGAACTAATACTTATATAAAACAGAGCATTCTTCCCTCATGTGGATCCTGTCTACTCACATACTAACTGCTGCACTTGGACAAGACGTTTCCTTTTTGGTGCCTGTAACCTGAGGCAGCCTCAAAGCATGACAAACAGCACTACTGTTTATGTGCTCCCAATTATTCCCCTACCACACTTCGCTTTCCTGTTACGAGCTGTTAAGTTCTTTCTGGAGACTGCAGCAAGAACCAGTCCAGTCAATACAGCAATCCATCCACTCAAGGGCTGACCCAGGATTTTCCCTCACTTCTGACTGATGGCAAAATGCACTGGTTCTCCCTGGCCCCCACCTTACCCCTTCCCTGCATCAAAATCTCTGGTTCTCACAGACTGCAAAGTAACCAGTTGCTTTAATAATGCATCAGCCTTGCCAGAGTTTGCTCTGGTTGTTTTTTAGTATCTGTAACTAGTTTTTTCCTTAGCTAGTTACTTTATAAGCTAAAGATTAAAGTATTTCATAAGTTATTCTAAATGACACAAACCCCACCCACACCAACCTCAATGGCAAAAATCATAAAGAAAAAACGCCCTCATAGAATTGGAATTTCCATACACTGTGTAAAACCGTTTTTGCACGATCTGCTGAAGCTGAAATACACACACAGCCTAAGAGGCAGCAATTCTATGCCTGGGCATACACACAGCAATGCATAAACACATACCCAAACGACACGAATGACAATATCCACAGAAGCACTATTCATCATAATCAAAACTGAAAACAATCAAAATAACCAATACAGCAGAATGGATGAGCATTTTTTTAAATTTTTTATTATTATTTTTTTATTTTTTTGACAGGCAGAGTTAGACAGTGAGAGAGAGAGACAGAGAGAAAGGCCTTCCTTTTCCATTGGTTCACCCCTCAAGTGGCTGCCACGGCCGGCGCTGCGCCGATCTGAAGGCAGGAGCCAGGTGCCTCCTCCTGGTCTCCCATGCAGGTACAGGGCCCAAGGACTTGGGCCATCCTCCACTGCCTTCCCAGGCCACAGCAGAGAGCTGGACAGGAAGAGGAGCAACCGGGACAGAATCCAGTGCCCCAACAGGGACTAGAACCCAGGGTGCCGGCACCGCAGGCGGAGGATTAGCCTAGTGAGCCGCGGAGCCGGCCTGGATGAACATATTCTAACATATTAATGCACTGAAACACTACTAGCCAAAAACAAAAACAAAAAACCATTACTGCCATGTGGAATAACATGAATGAATCTAACAACACAATAAGTCATGTGAGTTCAAAATCAGGCATCCTCAATCTATAATGACACAAGTTCTGGGAGGGGCAGGGGATTCCCCTCAAAGGAGCAGTACAAAGGACTTTCTAGGGTGCTGGAAACTCCCTATTTCCAGACCCCTGAAGTGGGAATAGAGGTGTTTTCATTCATAAGGTTGTATACAATTTGTGTGCCCTGTGTGTCATGCTTTAAAAACAAATTAACTTAAAAAGACCACGAAACCCAAAGCAAAGCAAAAAGTAATTAAGATAACTCACCTTGTTTGTTTTTAACACACTAAAGAGCTAGGTTTAAATGATTCCTCCTCCCTCCTGCATAGGACCTATAAATGGAATGCATCACAGCATTTGCTTCAGACCAGGAACAACTGCTCCTTTCACTGTTCCAACACATCCTACCCAAGCAAGTGTGATGCTGTCAGGGCAAAATTCCAGTTCCTACTTTTTATACATTATTTTAAACGATCACTTTTAAGAAAAAATCCACTGGAAAACTTCTCCCAGTTCTGGAAATTTTCAACATTTTACTGATGAGACTGAGACCCTAACACACAACTCTAGTATACAAACACTGAGACCCTGAAAAATAAGGAAGAGAAAACATCAAATGCGAGTCTTTGCCTGGACAGACCTATTTCCAGAAAGCCGCTGGAGCACATGATTAGGGCAGAAGTTTATGTAAAACAGATCTAAGCACAGAGGAAACCAACACTTACTCCTTTTTTCCTTTTTCTTAAATTTCCCTTTTTTCTTGCCATGGTCTTTCTCATCATCAGACACGATGTCGGGAGGCTCGTGGAGGATATCATGGGGAGGGGAGGGCTCTCCCGTGCGGTATAGTCCAGGAAACTTGGTGGGGCTGATCTCTTCCGAGCTGGGGGTCCGGGTCAGCCCGCTGCCATGCTCTGCCCTGCGGTGCTCACTGGGGCTGCTGGTGGGGGGCAGGAAGCACTCGGTCATGCTGCCGCCTGACGAGGAAGGGATGAGGTGCTCTGTGTTACCTGTCCATTACACCTGCACAGGGAGAAAAAACACAGCAGTCACAACAGCAACCAAAGGGTACAAACACAATACACACCGCACAGCACTTAATCCTGCACTTAGAAACCAAAAAGTGTTCTCTCCACAACCCCCTCTTAGAAGTACTCTTTCCTTTTGTTATCTCCAGGCATTCCATGCCTCACCCATTCCAGTCCTCAGAACCAAGCCTGCCAGCATCTTCACTATTAAAAAAATAAACCAAATGATAATCAGAGTTGGAGCTCTCTTAAAACAAAATAGCTCTTGTTAAAAACAACTCACCATTGTAAGGGTTTCATTTTGATTGCTATCCAACAGAAAATGACTATTTTTCCTTCAGTGATGAACAACTATGAATATTACATTAGAAAGACTACACATGTAACTGTATGAACAGTTCGTTCATAACTAAAGTTTACATTAGCTAAAATGGTATACTTAACAATGCACATAGAGATCATTCACTGTAGTTCTATGTTGCATTCAGTAAGTTCATGGATTGACAACTTATATTTTGCACTGTAATTACACTGAAAGAAAGGAACCCTCATTTAACCAATCCTAAATTATACACAAAATAGTTTCACTACAACAGACTACAAAGGAGTCAGAGTTCAAAATTAGCCTGCTTCTTTTCCTCTTGAGACAGAAGGGCTACAAAACGCGGTGATGCATCACTTACCCACAGGGATCCATCCTAAGAGAGGTGTCATCAGGAGAGTTTGTCCTGTGACCATCACAGTGCGCTTAAACTAAGACAGCTACAACATAACTAGGCAACATAATCTTTGTGGGCCGTCACTGCATGTGGCCCACCATTGACCAAAATGTCATTATTCGATGTCCTGGCTTTGTTTTAAATTCACTTGGATTAGCTCTTATTCCTCTTTAGTTTCATCATGCATTCATCTGAAATACTACTTTTTCTCTTTAAGGTATTTTTTCATCTTATGGATATTTTTTGATTTAAAGAAACCCATAGGCCATAAGTGACAAATCTGGCAATCTAACCATAATCAATGTGAAAAGACAAGCAAATGTGGAAAAAAAAAACCTGCAAATTGTGATAGCTAATTTCTTTAAAAAGATGAAAAAGTCTAACAAGTCAATGTAAACAGATACAAATCAAGAGTACTGGATGAAAGACTGAACTGGAGTTCAGGAGAAAGTGAGGAATATGCATATGAAAACAAGGCTCAACTTCAGCACATAGGATCCATTTTTGGTAAGGAAAGGAGGAAACAGGGACTCACTAGACTACTAATGTGGAAATAAAAATTAGCACAATATTTTGAAAAGTAATCTGGCAAGCTACTCTCTGATTCAGGAATTATTCTTTTAGGAAATTATCCTTCAGATACACTGTTACAAGAATACAAAGGCATATTTGTGAAAATATTCATTGCAGCACTGTAGCAAAACCAAAATAACCTAAGTGGCTCTCACTGGAATATCAGTTAAATTACAGTTTATCCAAATAATGGAACATAAAGCCTTATATACAATTTTTTAAAATGTTTATTTATTTATTTTCGCCTCAAAGGGAGACAGAGAGATACAGAATATAAATGACAGATCTTCCATCTACCGGTTCATCCACAACAGCCAGGACTGGGCTAAGCCAGTGCCAGGAGCCTGGAACTTCATCCAGATCATCCACATGAGTGGCAGAGACCCACACACTTGCACTTGAGCCATTCCAGGCAGCACTGCTGCCTCCCAAGTGCATTAGCAGGAAGCCAGATCAAAAGCAGAATAGCAGGGACTCAAATCATCCTGCTGAGATGCAGGTATCTCGGGCAGTGGCTTAACTTGCTATGCCACAACACCCACCCCTACACACAATTTTTTTTTCTCTTTTTTTAAGATTTATTTGAAAAGCAGTATGAGAGAGAGAGAGGAAGAGGGAGAGAAATCTTCCATTTGCTGGTACACTGTCCAGATGGCTACAAGGGCTAGGGCTGGGCCAGGCTAAAGCCAGTCAGGATCTGAACTGGCACTCCAATATGTGATGTCAGCACTTAGCTTGCTGTATCACAACACTGCCCCTTTCCTCCTGATTTCTGAAAGTATATATAATTTAACTAGCATTAACTGTTGGAAGTGTTAAAAAGATAGGGAGAAAGATTTTTTCCCCATTTCATCTTCTATATAATTTGAATTTTACCATGTCCACGTATTACCTCTGTCACTTAAAAAAATAAACAGGCCATGATTTTATAATCTCATAAAGATTATGCAATATCACAAATAACATTTTGACAATATTTAATAATGTGGGGAAAAATTTTATTTATAGCATATTAATTTTAAATATATGAAAGATGTAAAAATATTAATAACAATTATATATAAACTCTAAAAACTAGAAGTAACCTAAATTTTTTTTACTCTTGCATTTTGTAAAGTTTCTATTCAATATGCATTATTGCTTGTAAACAAGTACAAACACTAAAGACAAAAGGAGGTTCCACTAAAGCAGGGGAGGGAAGTGTCGAGGCCACTGGCCATATAAGGCCCATGCAATCATTTGGTCTGGCCCTGCCAAAGCAACTGCAGGTGGGACTCAAAATTCAGTAAATCTATAGCAGGCTCATTTTTAAGCTGACACTTTTGCATGGCTCGTGAATGATGTTATAAACTCCAGATGACTCTTGGCAGAAAAAAGGTTCCCCACCCCTGCATTAAAGGCTCAATAAGCATCATCAGAATTCTGTGTTTCTTGATGAGGCCCAACTTTCGGCTATTAATTCTGAAGGGCATTTATTTTTCCAGTAACTAAAGGTTTCCTATATTTTGACGACAGGACATGAGAGTTTGCAGGGCGCCAGGGTCCAACCAGGTAGGAGGTGTCGCCTATCAGAGAGGAAGTCACAGCAGCCCAAGTCGGGAGGGAGCACAGCTTCACTCTCCAGAAACAAGACTGCTGGGGCCCAGTGCCCTGGGACATCACTTTATTTACACTTCCCTGTCTTTATTTCCTGGAACCCAGACTTTCCCTCAGTGTTTCTGCATCTAATTCATGCTCGTCTTCTCCATTTTTTCCTTTTAAGATTTATTTATTTATTTGAAAAGCGGAGTGCCAGAGGCAGAGAGAGAGGCAGAGAGAAAGGTCTTTCATCTGCTGGCTCGCTCCCCAAATGGCCGCAACGGTTGGTGCTGGGACAATCCACAGCCAGGAGCCTGGAGCTTCTTCTGGGTCTTCCATGTGGGTGCAGGGGCCCAAAGACTTGAGACATCTTCTACTGCTTTCCCAGGCCTTGGCATAGAACTGGATTGGAAGTGGAGCAGCCAGGACTTGAACTGGCTGCAACATGGGATGCTGGCACTGCAGGCAGTGGCTTTACCCTCTATGCCACAGGAACATTCCCCAAGCTCATCTTCCACCATTAATCCCACAGACACATTTGGGGGGAATGGAAACATTAGATTTGGGTTGTGGAAATGCATAAATCTGTAAATTTTCTGCAAGTCATTAAATTATATACTTACAATAATGGGTGGATCTTATGAAACTGTTTAAAGGGGAAAAAAATGTCAAGCACCAGCTACAGCTTCTTCAGGAATCCTTCCTGTCGACCCGCCCAATCCAGGAGAAGCCCTGGGCCTGAACCTCCGTCTACCACAGCCCTTACCGCACTGTATCTGAATGACCTGTCCAAGTCTTCCTTACTTGCCTCACTGTGAGCTTCGGCATTCAACACAACCCATGGCACCCAGTAAGTGCTCACATGTTCACAATTTATTAGCATCTTCTAAATATGGGCACTGATGATGAGATGGAGATTAGCAGAGAACCTCACCTTTGACCTTAGATTCCAATTCAGGGAATACAGACTATATTTGAGTTCCTGTCGCTTCTGGAACTTTTTCAATTATTAACTAACCTCAGTACCACCTATGGGAAAAAAGTAGTTATTCCTTCATGTTTACAAATAGAGAAGCTAATATAAGGAGAGCTTAAGTAACTTACCCTAAATCACACAGCAGATGAAGAGGTAAAATTTGGACCTATTTGACTCAAAACACACATTCTTTCCACTTCACACATGCATACAAAAAAGGGAGTACATTCACACCAAGAGGGACAGCGTAGCTAGGACACAAGGGCAGGGACACAGGGACTTTCCAGAATGGAAAGACTGGCCTGACTGAGTGGTTCCTGCTAAGACAGCATTGAGAGGATGTTAAAAAACCAGGTGGGCTCAGCCAACTGAATGCTAAGGGATTCAGACTTGGTGTGAGAGTCATTAACAACTGCAAAGTCAGCAGTGACATAACCAGAGTGACATAAGAGAGACGGGCAGAAATACCAGCAATAAAATGGCAGCTATTTTTTTTCCAAAAAGTTTATTTGAAAGGCAGAGGTAAAGAAGAGAAAGATCAATCTTCTATCCGCTTCTATCTAAAATGCCACCAAACACTGGGGCCAGCACTATGGCATAGCGGGTAAAGCCACTGCCTGCAGTGTAAGTATCCCATATGGCACCGGTTCAAGTTCCAGCTGCTCCAATTCCTATCTAGCTCTCTGCTATGGCCTGGGAAAGCATTAGAAGATGGCCCAAGTCCTTGGGCCCCTGCACTCGCGAGGGAAGACCTGGAGGAAGCTCCTGGCTTCAGATAGGTGCAGCTCCAGCCATTGCGGCCAATTAGGGAGTGAACCAGTAGATGGAGGACCTCTCTCTCTCTCTCTCTGCCTCTCCTTCTCCCTGTGTGTAACTCTTTCAAGTGAATAAATAAACCTTAAAAAGAAAAAAAGAATTATCTTGTAAAAACTACTATACAAAAATATTTGACTTATACTATGGACCGCACGTTTGTGTCCCCTTAAAATCCCCAAGATGAAACTTAGCCCTTGCAGTAATAGCATTAGGAGCTGACCAGATCATGGTGGAGCCCTGGAGAATGAGATCAACCCTCAGAAGGACTGAAGAGACCAAAGTCAGCCCTCCCACCACATAAGGACACAGTGAGAAGCTGCAAGCTATAAACCA